ACAAAGAAATTTCGAGATTAGTTAACATAGACACAATACGGCAAACTTGTGGGTGTCATCAGACTTGGTCACTTAATGTGTCCGTACGTCCTGGCCACTTTAAGTGTGGAAGTGGCTCCGATTCGCACCACTGGTCACTTGTATGCACGTAGCGATGCACTGGGCAGTATAGAAGTGACCGTCTTTTAGATTCAACACCCTCCTACACGAGCGCTGTCATCCCCTTCTCGCCTCAGCACAGAAGACAATGCTGGCGAGGCGACACCACGGCATTGTCATACAGCATCATCAGGCTACTTCTAGCCACGAGGAGTGTTACTAAACGGTCACATACTCGTATAATTTCATTTTTGCTGGAAATATAAATCATGGTAGTAGCCATGCAGACGAAACTCCATTACCAGCCCTGGGTGATGAGATGATTGATGTTCTGTGACACCGAGTCATCTAAGAATTGCAGTAATTCAATCAAAGAAAAAATTGACAATTTTCCTGGGGCAATCGTCGCGTCAATTACATCAATATTATTTGATAAGCTAGAGCGGTGTGAAACCTATATCATCATCCGTCAGGCGACGACACGTAATTGAATATACTGTATGATATTAGTTGGTATTAGCTCAATATCGACATAATAGATATTTATTGACGGGGCTAATAACTAAGATACGACCCCAGTTTTTATTACAGACGTTGGGAAGAGCTGGCTGAGTTATTGTTTACAGCGATTTCAATCTCTGGACTATTATAGGTTTTCCGGCTAGAGTTGGGGTTTTGATTCGGAAATTAACGAAATGAATCCCGTCCGTATCCACAATACTATGGATATAACCTGATCCGAAATGTGATGAAGCCGCATATTTGGCCAGATACATATATATACAGGGAACTGCGACAGTTATTACAGAAGTTGATCGGCTAATATAATGGAGATGATTGCCGGCAAAAGGAGTCATGCAGCTGTCTATAAACACTCCGACCATGTACGGCTTTTAAATAATCAAGGATTGTTGGCCCGGAGGACCGATTCCCTGACGACGTATTTGCACAGTTGACCTATTGCCTGAGCTAACGGAGAGAGACAGCGCCATAACGACGCTGTGCAAACAGGACAAGCGTTCTCATTTGTTATTATAGAAAATATGCGATAACCTATATGGAAGCAATGGACAGTTCTACGGTAGCTTCACGCACGATCAGATTGTGTTCAAATCTGACAGATTATAACATTTCATAATGTTTGCTTTAGCGCTATTTTTTTCATTTCCTATGTTAGCATTAGAGAGATTTGGTGAAGCAGTATATAGTTCAGGAAGGCCAATATGTCGGCTTCTCATCGGTAAAACATGATGCATTTCGACTTATAAGAGTAAATGCCTGACAGCTGCAAGAAGTGTTGGGAGGATTTTTTTTGTATTGTTTCACGGCCATCGACAAATTAAGTCATTTAACTCATCGTTGTCGACGTCATACCATTAGTCTACGACTACTAGTTGGGGCCATATCGGATCAAAGATGGACCTAAGACATACACATGGAACTGCACCTTTAAAATTTGGTAATAAATACAAGCACGCCAAAAATAAATTACTCTGCACCATACTGCTGTTACAAACCGAACGACTAGACATGATCACTGTGACAGTATGTTTGACCTCGGAGGATTGGAGAGACAGAGACTGGTTCACTATGTGGTGCAGAGTACACGAACCCCTATCATGTACTTATTACTTCTCTGACAATAGACATCCGTTCTCCTTTATAATGTGTACATACCGCACACTGAAATATGTATATACATTTTCGACAAGAATAAAGACTGAAAACCACCGTCAACACACAAGACCACAGCACAATATATCAAAGCAATTCAAATTCACAATACACATGATAGCACACAATGACACGTCAAGACACAAATTGTGCCATTGCAACAACACACAAGGACTAAATATACCAAAGGAAGACACAAGAACAATATGTACCAATGCGCCCACCAAGACATGTCTCAAAACTGGGATAACAGTACTAACTAGTGACCCCCACAGAGGTGAACCACGACGATCCGGAAGGGGAAGCATCCATTGCACCACACTTGGCAGAGTAATATCTTGACAAAACAAGGAATGTAGGTCACCATCAATCGAAGTCACTGCGAACATGTTTGATCATGACAATGAAACCCCATAATATCTGGTCTTATAAGCCTCTTCCGCAGAAAATCGAGACAACAATATGACATTCTCTCCACAAAGTCCTGATACTTGATTCTGGAGTAACACATTGCCTATGTCGTAAGCTGGTGTAACTAGGCCCATATCACTTATTCTAAGAGTAATTACGTTTCTAAGTACTTGATCGGCTGTGTTCTGTGCGGAACAAGAAAGAACAGTTATGATCTCCATTAACCTGACTAACAGTCTCTTTATAAAGAGTACCAGTACTTTAGGGTTAGCAATCGGTTTGAATACGAGTACAGTACTTGAAACTGCTGATGCAAAGTGATGTATGCTGGTTCTTTAAAATTAAATCGTCTGAAAACGACTTGGAAATTTGACTTCAATTTCTTAGGATTTACGGGGGATAATTTTACCTATTCAATACCATCGCATTGTCCCATATGGAACTCGTGCTTGACCGAATTTCCAATTCCAACATATAACAATGTCGTTGCGTGTTCACATGAGCTGATCACTTGGATACCAGACAGGTCGACTTAATTAAACAAGACTGTTCTTCTAGTATACTGTAAACCACTTCATTTTTGCGAGAGAATATTTTATTTTCGTTTGCAAATTAAATCTTGTGTGGATATTGATTACACCGAAAATAACAAGCAACAAGAGTACCGCATGGCGGAACAATATACATCCGTCCCCTGCTAACCTTATATGAAAACACTGCACAAGCTAGATTTGTTAATCTTAGAATGTCTTTGACCGTTCAAGGAAGAGACATAACTCGGAAATATGACAAGTCAAATGTTTCACCTAACTACTCTTCTATTGCGTATAGTGCGTTTGCTATGTCTCTACATATAATTCAATTGTATTTCATTGATAGACAACCAATTAACAGCACACTGTTTCCATAGCTAGTTACGTCGTCTTGTGAAATGTAGTATTTGGTCACAAGTATTGGTTTCTATTGCATACTTCAGTTACTACTCTCAATCAGTTGTTAAATGTGTGATTATAATTATATATCTATTTCATAATCCCTAAATTAACAACTTTAAGAAAAAAAGAAAAAAAAATATCAACAAAATAACCAGACGTCACAAAATCATCAATATTTTTATTTTAACTATAACAGAAGTATAAAGTTAATTGTGATATACATAAAGCAAAACAATTCTCCATTAAAATATTTTAAAAAGGAACAATCAATAATTAATCAAATCATTCATAACATCAAGCACTTCAGTTTCTTCCCCTTCTTACAACAGAGCGATGGAGCAGTCAAAAGAGACTAGAGAGGGGCCAGTTTACAATGTTTTCAAATGGGTAGGGGGAGGAGTGGGAGAAGCCAATCTATCAGTGAAAGGGGGGCAAGTCTACCAGAGGGAAGGTCCAGAGACCGGTCTATAAAGTGCCCTGTCTATAAAGTGCCAGGGCAATACTACTTACAAGAATGAGCAGTTTATATCTATAAAGTAGTGGAAGGAGCTAGCCTACACATACGAATTGATCCATCTATAAAGTGGGAGGGGCCAGTCAACAAAGAGGAAATGGAAGAACCCATCTATAAAGTAGGAGGGGCCCGTCTACAGAAGGAAGGGTCTATAAAGTGGAGGGTCTACAAGGAGGAAGGGACCAGCCTATAAAGTGGGAGGGGCCGGTCTACAAGGAGGAAGGGACCAGCCTATATAGTGGGAGGGACCCGTCTATTAATTGGAAGAAGCCAATCTACAAATGGGAGATGGCCAGTCTATAAAGTGGGACAGCCAGTCTATAAGTTCACAATTAGTCTTTTTTCAATTTTCTAGCTGATTATGATTACATTAATAACACCCACATGACCTTAAACTCTGACCTTGCAAATTATAGCTGGTAGCACCAATTGTCAAACCATCAGTTAATTACATAATTATTTGTTTAATTAAAATTTGAAACCTTTACATCAAAATAGCACCTGACTTTAATTCTTTGATAATGGCAACAATTCAAATTATTATCTTTAATGCTTTTAAATTCTTCAGAGCAACAATGATGACAAAAGACCTGCAATTTGAAAGGCCTGCTATCCAGTTGGTTCCCTTCACTTCTGTATCCTTGGGTTTATGTAAAACCTGTCTTTTGAGAGAAAATTGTGTATTTTAATTCAACAAAGATGAAAATACAATTTGCAATATAGTATAAATTTTGTGTTAAAACAAAATCTATTCTCATATAAAAAGTTAAGCTGAACAGAAATTCACAAAATCCTTTTCATATATAAAAAGGATACAAATAAAAAGATTAAAGAAACATGTTTAAGAACTAACATTTATCAAGCTCCCTGGTTTTTAAGTGTCTGAATACTCTAAATGGAGAACCACAGGTTTCAAAGGCTATAGGGGGGTGGGGGTGGGGATAATCTGTACTTAAGCACCATGTGAGCAATATTCTTTTAATAGTATATCCTTAACTGTTTTTGTAACCTAACTTATAGGTTAACAAAATAAAATGAAAGGTTACGAAATCCTCCAGGTTCCTGGCTATGACAAGTAACAGCAGGTAATCTCAAACAACTTTTTATGAGATTATGTACTGAAAATAGAGAGATTCAAGTCTTTAAGAATAACTGTAGAAATAAACTGCAAAACCTTCTCTTTCACCTTGGTATCGATTTCTGTCAGTGAAGATTTTATCTTTTTCAAAAGAGTAAATTCATAAAGATTTAGACTGTATAACACAGATGATACAGGATTTATGTATGTCAAAAGCTGTCAATATATGTACATGTATGTAAACAGATGAAACATATACACATATCCAAAGTCAGATGTCCATGTACCTGTATACCGACAAAACATTTACACATATCCAAAGTCAGATGTCCATGTACCTGTATACCGACAAAACATTTACACATATCCAAAGTCAGATGTCCATGGAGCTGTATGTATACAGATGAAACATTAACATGTATGGACATTCACATGTGTGTTGTCTAATGCACGATAATCCATGTAAACAGGTTTAATATTTGCACATATCCCCAGTGTGCAGCCTGTTGTTATCCAAAGTCTGACCTTTGTTGTGTTGAGTCTGATTATCCATGTAAACAAATAAATATTTATACACATCCTCATTCGGCACATTGTGTATTGTCCAATTATTCATATCACCAGCTGGCAGCATGAAGAAAGAAACTTCACTGGATTTGCATGGACAGGAATAAACGTCATTCTGCAATAATCCAGAAATAATCAAAAATTATTTATCTTATTTTCTGACAGACACATCTCTTATTTCCAGAACTAAAAAAATATCACTTTTTATCCAAGAAGTTTTACAAGATAAATTTGATACAAAATTAGCCATTATCATTCTTATTTGACCTCTGTGACCTTGTGAAAAGGGTGAGTTGATGAATTTGAACACTACATGTTAAATATCATCATTTTAGGAATTCAGATCCATTCAAGAGAAAAAAAAAAAAAACATTTCAAAAAAACATATCTGACCCATGTGACTTTGAAATTGGGTCAAAATAATTTCTTAATAGTGTTACATGCTAGTAAGCTAATTGAAGTGTCATCACTCTGTGCATTCCTAGTTTTTCATATATATACGAGGTATTATAATTATTGTTCAAAATGTATGACCTCTGTGACAGTAAAATTAATTCAAAGTTATTCCACTAAACAAACTTGAAACAAACAAATTTCATGACTCAAAGCTTTATGGCTCTGAAGTGGAAGTTGAAAATTTAAAGGTGGATGGACAATGCACCATCACATAAATATACACTCAACATATAGGGCTCTGGCCAGGTGATGTTAAAACAGGTAACATGTAAGTAGTAAACTAATCAAAAGATAAATCCAGGAGACATCCCCTTACAGAAATAACTACATCCCATATGTTTACATAGATTATTTTTCTATTCAGAAATAGTCCCTACATATAAGTACTTAGGATCTGATAACTACAATGTATACATTATATCTTGTATTGACTGGAGAACAAAAATTAAGACAAAAGAATAATGTTATCAAGAGAAAACGAGTCCAAAATTCTATACATTTGGCCATATGCATGCATTTTTTTATTGGTGAAAAATTGCTCTTCTTGAGCAGCTGTTTCTTATCATGAAACCCAGACATATTTGTATGTACCGTAACAGTAATGTGCTTCACACCACTAATTTGACGAGAAAAAATCTGCCATATATAACTTAAGTTTTTTTCAACAAGACAATAAGGAAAGATAAATTCTATTGTATTATAGGAACACTTTTTTATATTAGAAAAACATGCAAAAGGCATTACATATAGATATTACAGATAAATCACTAGAGCAGGTGTTTGGGATGAATTATGACATCAAAACTACATATTACGGCCAGAATAACAAATGTTCATTGTTTAAAAACAAACTCCTCCAACACTGAAAACGGATGACATTTCAATATTTTTTCTTCATTTTTGGTAAAGGGAAGAGTTTTTCTTGATGAAATAAAATCTGACTTTTAAAAACTTTGATTTTATATCAATTTTACCCAACATACGAATGTCTAATTGCTGTATCAGATAATTGTCAGCCTAGGTTGTACACTATGTATGTGGAACTGAAGAAAAACAGGTGTGAATCCAAACATGTACATTAAAGTATACACTGTGCACATTTTAATAATTCCACAACAAACTAAGATAATAAATCAGTTGCTTTTTTTAATCTGATTTATTTACAGAGAATGCAATGAACACACTCTACTTCAAGCCCTGACAAAATAACCTGTGATGTAATTTGAGAGGAATCTGCAGTAACAGAAATTGTTACCATTTTTTGCAGGAAAATTTTCATTTACAGTAAATCTGTTAACTTGTACAAGTATATATACATTTGGGGCTGATTAATATGTGATGGTAGCGTCTATATCTCACTAAAATATACTGACAGTTATCTGTAAATGTCACCAGCTGACTTTTAATTTACTCTACAAATGACAAATTATTTTAATTTGAGCATGTACATATCCACCATCCAGAAGAGAAACCAATATAACACATGTTCCATGATTACACTGTTTATCAGATATTGCAATATCATGGCAAAATAATCAATTCCGGCCATCAATCATGGCTTAAATCTGATATACCAAAACCAAAGATGGAATTTTGTAATCAATTCTGTAAACCTCTGCTTCAGGAACAAAGAAAGACAACTGTATGTTTCTCCTCAATTTACACCTTGGACCATATCTACAAAACAATTCCCAGTTGTACATAACTACGTTAACGATACTCTGTAGGTTGTGAACATATCAGTTTGTTTCGATTGTCAAAGGTTCCATTTTGGCAATCACCATTTTTGAGTTAGTGCAAATGTACCACACAGTTTAGTAATGCCAAAACATTACTATTAAGGAAACTTATTCAAACGTTAGTTTGTTAGTGGCAGTGACCTCTGTTGTAACACAACAATGATCCAATAAATCAAGGGCTACTATTGCTGCAAAACTTTTTAAGAAAATTCCTTCCAAATAATACTATAGGGCTTGTGTGCTTTTTGAAAATATGTTTAACACGAAACATATGGTCAATTTTTATTTTTAATTTATAGATGAGAAGAACATGGAAACCACAAGATGCTAGTAGAAGTAAGATGTGTCGGCGAGGGCCCTACCCTGTATTCAAAATCAGCACTGTACCATGTGCTAGTAGAAGTAAGATGTGTCGGCGAGGGCCCTACCCTGTATTCAAAATCAGCACTGTACCATGTGCTAGTAGAAGTAAGATGTGTCGGCGAGGGCCCTACCCTGTATTCAAAATCAGCACTGTACCATGTGCTAGTAGAACTAAGATGTGTCGGCGAGGGCCCTACCCTGTATTCAAAATCAGCACTGTACCATGTGCTAGTAGAAGTAAGATGTGTTGGCGAGGGCCCTACCCTGTATTCAAAATCAGCACTGTACCATGTGCTAGTAGAACTAAGATGTGTCGGCGAGGACCCTACCCTGTATTCAAAATCAGCACAGTACCATGTGCTAGTAGAACTAAGATGTGTTGGCGAGGGCCCTACCCTGTATTCAAAATCAGCACTGTACCATGTGCTAGCTAGTAGAACCAAGATGTGTCGGCGAGGGCCCTACCATGTATTCAAAATCAGCACTGTACCATATGCATAACTAGGTTAGATCATATAATTAATATTTATACCTGTTAATTTTCAGAAAAATTCCTGTGGGGTTATAACAATTACACAACTAGTATATAAATTATCATTACATGTACATGCATCATACTTTTTGACATGTTAATCAAGTATTCTGATCAAGTAATGAAGTTGATACACATGAACATGCACATGTAAACAATTGTAACTACTGATAAAAATAACATTACTTCTGATTTAATTATACAAATATTTTTTCCCTGAATAAAGACTGTGAGTACAGTGAATTCAAGTTCATTACATAGCTCAAAGAAACCCCGACATGTTCATTACATAGCTCAAAGAAACCCCGACAAGTTCATTACAAAGCTCAAAGAAACCCCGACATGTTCATGAAGGCAAATGAATCATGCAAACAGAACCATATATACAACTTCAATGTGAGAGGATAACTAACTGATCAGATATATCAATGGTATCACAAATCAGGAAAGTGTATAATGTATATATGTTCAAGAAAAATACTGAAGGGATGGATTCTCATGGAGGCAATGGATTGTTCAAAACAGTGTAACTCAAAGTAAGAGATGGAAAATGAACAAGAAAGATAGCGTGTATGCCCGCGGCAAAAGCTGTGCTGCGGCTTGGACAGCACTCAAGACAATCTTGAAAAATATTTTTTACTTTAAACCATAACAAGTATGGTCAAGATCCCCCTGCTTCCAACTATCTTTCTCTTCTCTTCACTGTTTAATCAAAACAATGTTTTAATTAAAGACCAGCTAGACTATTGCTTGGTTGTAAATATTTAATGCCTTGTTTACAGGAAAGGACTAAATTAAGTCAGCATAATTTGCATCGGCATAATTTGTGTCCAATCCTTTTGTAAATTTTTATACAATAAAATTTGCACAAAAAATCAAATACAGACAGAAGAAGTGACTTTGGTTTATGTTGAAGCACTATACCATGTACATCTACAATGCATGTACTGGTACACCACATCAGCATTTTAGGACACCTCACATTGTAGGGAACTCTAAGTCACAAGTACTATTATTAGCAAAAAATACTGGATAATATTGTATAGTACCTGAATATATGAGACCTTTTCCATCAATGTAGAGCATTTGATTATAGGAAATCTCAGTCAGAATGAGTAATTTGAAATGTAAGCCAATTATCTCCCTTTGAACCCCACCACTAAAGTCAAAAGGTCAGTTGAGGATCATAATTTTCACATCTCATTTGATTGCCATTCAATCATAATAATGGTTACTGATGTTACATGTAGTATACCGTTAGAACTGAAATACATACCGGTATCTCAACATTGCTTTAATTCCTGGGACGTCCAATACTGGAGTTGGCTACTTGAGTGTGCTGGTCGGATGACGTCGGGTTAGTTTCTGGTTGTATTAAAGTATATAATATTTCAGTCTAGAACTTCAAATTAAACAGAAAAACTGTTATCCATTTCAAATTAGGACTATTCCATGAATCCAGGGTATGTTCGGGGAATACAAACCATAAAACATCCCCCCCTCAAATCCCTGGACTTCAGGGTTTGTTTAGCGATACAAACCATAGAATTCCATTATTTTAATGTGCATGCAAGTAACAGGCAAAATTAAAACCATTAATAGAAGTGATTTGCTTTTAGGTCCTATGGACGGAAAGATATATGAATAGCCCTAAACCTATATTAAAACAGAAACTTTTTTGTTTTTTAAAATACATTGGATTCCTGGGCCAAAAAGAATCTTCAATGTGAGATTAGATAGAATTTGTTTCTAAATGTTGTAAAACATTTTTTTTAAATTTAAAATACTACATGTCTCTTTTTAAATCAACCCAGTGGTATTTATACAGGTATTGTGATCCTACCATATGGTGTTAATTCTTTGTGAAATCTTATTGAAGTATTGTTTTTTAGCCCAAGTCAATTAAATGATATTTATCTTCCCTTGGACAATTCAAGGACCTTCACATGTCAATATATCAGGAATTTCACCTGTTTTAGTGAGCTATGCTCACATCTTAACGTGACTTATAATTACCTGTCTGTGATACTCTGATGAAGTTCACGGGTATGGAGACAAAGTCCTGATCAGCATTCTCCGGCAAAACAAGGCTTTCAGTCTGCGGTGTTTGCGATACAGCAGGTGACGCTGGAACAAGACCTGTCTGCAGTGTCTTGGGTTCTACAGGTGACAAGGGGACAAGGCTTCCTGTCTGCAGTGTCTGGGGTTCTGCAGGTGACACAGGAACAAGATTTCTTTTCTGAAGTGTTTGTGGCGTAACAGGTGACATAGATACGAGGACTCTGCTATTATGGCCTGAGGTCTGCTGACCCATCAAGCCATCCACCTCATCCCCACTATTGGCTGTTAGTGTTGGGTTTGAAACCATAGTGACCTGTCCTGTAGGGACATTAGGCAGCTGACTACTACTGACCCTGGGCACCTGACCAGATCTTACACTAGTGGGTTGGTCAAGTTGAACGCCACGCATTGTATTGGATATAACTGGATTTTCTATTCCACCAATAGAAGTAGTCACTATGTTCTGACTGATTGTATTGCAATTGCCGACAGTGCTTGGCAAGAGGATCTGGACACTGTTTGGTGGCGTGTTCATTAGTTGTGAAACACCTCCGATCATCTGGAAATTCTGATTGCCAGTCTGTTGTTGCAAAATTTGTATCGGTAAGGTCATGTGTGTATCACCATCCTGTAACTGGGCACTGACAGATAGTGGATTTGTTATTTCCCTTTGTTGAAGGTTGGTTATGCCACCTTGCAGAATTGTAGATATGTCCCCTTGTTGTAGGGTGGTTATGCTCCTTTGTTGCACATTAGATATGTCCCCTTGCTGCAGCGTTGTTATGCCCCTTTGATGTAAGGTAGTCATGTCCCCTTGCTGCAGCGTGGTTATGCCCCTTTGTTGTAAGGTAGTCATGTCCCCTTGTTGCAAGGTGGCTATGACCCCTTGCTGTAGATTGGTTAAGCCTCTTTGTTGCATAGAATGTATGTCTTGTGGCAAGTGAGCTGTGTCCCCTTGTTGAATTGTAGTTATATCCCCTTGCTGTAAAGTTCCTCCCACAAGCTGGTTAAAAGTTTGCCCGTTAACTGAAGGGATGATCAGGCCTGTAGGATGATGTATGACAGGAAAAGATATGTTTTGGACAAGCTGTATGTTTGGAATCATGTGGGGTTGAAGTTGAACATGGTCAGGCACCGATATTTCACGGCCATCTGTCACAGTCTGCTGGACATTCTTAGGGTTATCTGTTACACTCTCCAAAGGAACTCCACTAGCTGAACTATTCTGTTTTATCAAAGAGGTAGAATACATCTCTCTGGAGTAATGATGACTGTCTAAATCACAGTCCTGCCTCTCCATTGGCTTACATTTTCTGACAGGACATTTGGAGTACTGATTGGTGTCTGTCAATTCAGGTGCACTCCTTATTTGCACATCACATGGGACATCTGGATCTGATGCTCCCAACTGTCTGTACACAGGCTGAGTTGACGTATCTTTCTCCTGTGTGGTCCTTGCCTGACAAATGTGGCCCTGTCTGTGTAGTAACCACTTCCTTGCCTCCGCAATACCTTGAGGTTCTACAACGGTTATGTCATCTGAAGACAGGGTCCTCATATCTAACGTAATTACTGTAGACTCCAAAGAGGTCGGAACACTTGAAGTAGTGGTAATGTAATCTGGAGGTACAATCTGACTTAGTTCTGGTGCTTCGCCTTGAAGGTGCATAATCTCCATACTCTGGTGACGCAATTCCTCCCTATGATATTCCTGCCCATCCTGCCCCTGACTGACCTCCTGTGTGACCTCAGACTGACCTTCCCTTGACTGTGATTGAGGCTGCCTATTACATGACCCATCCTCGTATCTCACCATTTCCTCACCAGTATTTGAGGTCACGGAAGATGTAATTGGTGCCGATTCAGTCCGATATAGCACCAATTCCTGTTCTTGATCTTTGGAACGAATGCCAGAGATTCCGTCCCCCGTGTCTGCTACGCCATCATAATTTACTGGAGGGACTCTTTTCTGATTAATAACAGGTTGTTGTAATTTCAACACAGTCAAAGCTGTGGTGAGTGTTGAATTGGCCATTTCTTCGTGTAACCGTATATGACTGCGTAGGGAATCTTTCCTCACAAACGATTCAGGACACAAATGACAGGCAAACACCTTTGAAAATTTCCCGGAAGAGCAAGAAACCTTGACCTCAGATGACCTTCCTCGTCTCCCTTTGATACTTGAGGTTTTTGTCTCGACTTGCATATGCCTACGTTTGATATGGAGAGTCAAGTTGGCCTTGTGGTTGGTTGAAAAATAACAGTGCATACAGCTGTAACTCTTCTCCTTCTCGTGTCGGGAGAGATGGCTGCGGAGCACCTCTCTGTTGGAACACTTGTAGTGACACACATGACACACACAGTCTGGGTCGTCAGGTTCATGGCCTTTGATATGTTCTTTGTAGCTTCGCTTTGACGAGGTGGAGAAATCACACACTGTACACTTCAACTGATTCTCCAAGGAGTGGTGTACACGGTCATGGCTGGCTAGATTTCCTGAAACAAAAATAATGTTTATATGTAATTATGTAATTTTTATCTCTTTTATCAAATGACAAATCAAATTCATCCCAAAATTGAAAGTCAAGCACAATTTTTTTCCAAAGGGTCACATTTACAGATTTGGGACACACCTGTAACAGCTTTGTACAACAAATTCAATGTTTAGTTAGCATGGTATGATCTATTCTGTAAAGTTACAGACTGAATTTCAGAATTTGTTGATTTAATAATGATCTTTATTTTGGTCTAATGAAATGTGAAACCATCATTTGCCGATACAGCACTTTCGTGTCACGAAAAAACAGGTAGAATGTTTTCACTATGGATGAGGGGAGGGAACCCTAGTTTGCAGTCAAAAGTTGGCATTGATATATGCATATTATATATAGCATGTAATATTCATGGATAGAACATGATTGTATCTAAATTATTAACTTTTCAGTTATTGTATAATCATAAACAGATATTTTGTAGTTTTCAATTACTTTTTACACTGCAACATGTAATTGTATGATACATTTACTTCATTTGGCGGAAGAAGATTGTGTGTTATCAGAAAATTGGTGAAAGAAATATTTGCCAGAAGTCTTGATTGCCTCGTAAAGTTGTTTAGGATAGCTATAGATGCTTTACGGCATCTGAAAACACAAAGTTGCTAAATAATATGTGCATTTCTGAAAATCATCCTATCCTCCATACATCCACATAAATGATACAAGTCTATTTTTAGAAATTTATGTTAGTTAGCGATGTGGAGGAACTTTATACCTTTTGTGGCACACTTGGCATCACATTTCTCACACTGGTACGGCTTCTCTCCTGTGTGGACCCTCAGATGTCGCCGCAGGTCTGACTTGATCTTGAACTTGGCAGGGCAGAATGGACAGGGGAAGGGGCTGTCACCAGTGTGGGTGCGTAGATGGACAGTTAGCTGACTGGCTGTACGACAGGCATAGGGACAGACCTGACACCTGTTGGTGTAAACAAATTCACATTTCAAAATACATTTAACATTGTAATCTCCTTACATTTTGGTGTTTTTATCTAATTTTGGATTTTAACATCTGGTGGTTGAATATTTGGATTCCCACTTGTATTCAGCATATTTAACCATTACGATCCTGCTTATCTTAATGGTAACCCATCTTTAATCTTTGTAGTACAGAAAACTAGAGTATCATGCATTACTGATCAGTAGTTGATACTTAGGTATTTTTTTTCACACTTCATTTAAAGTACCTGCTAATACCCCCAATCTTACTTGTGAGGTCTCTCATCAGTATGAACGATTGCATGTTTCCGTAGACTGCTGTTATCCACAGCACTGTAGCTACCTGTAAAGCAAATTGAGAATTAAAAAGATTCATTTCTAACCATATCTCCCAAACCTGTTCTAGGTTTCATCACTCCTAGCCAATGGTTTACTATTTCACCCATACCTGCTATAGGTTTCATCACCCCTAGCCAATGGTTTACAATTTCACCCATCCCTGCTATAGGTTTCATCACTCCTAGCCAATGGTTTACTATTTCACCTATACCTGCGTTAGGTTTCATCACTCCTAGCCAATGGTTTACTATTTCACCCATACCTGTTCTAGGTTTCATCATTCCTAGCCAATGGTTTACTATTTCACCCATACCTGCTATAGGTTTCATCACTCCTAGCCAATGGTTTACTATTTCATCCATACCTGCTATAGGTTTCATCATTCCAAACTAGAGATTTTTGTTGTTGAGAACTTTTCAGTTTGAACGACCAGGCATGATTATTTTGTGGTATGTTACTATGTCTTTGATCGTGTTTCAGGCTATTGGAGAAACAGAATATCCAACTTGTTATAACTGATAATAATTTATATCCATTCTCACGAGTTATAGTACTGTAGTAAATATTTTTCAAGCATAATCTAATCTCTTAAGCTTGTAAGTCACATTTATAAGGAACTACAGTAAAACATTGATGACAATTAGTTAACTTGACTATGTCAGATCAGTTTAAAGAATATACATTTCTTAACAGTATTAAGAAATACACCCAAATTGTCCTGGAAAAACTGTGTCTGTACATGTGGTTTATCAGGATTAATTGGGATTACATTCATAGCAATTTCTACACAGGATTGTACAATTTCAATTTTACAGTTTACATTTTTCTGCCAATTTTCCTCAATTCCAATCCCAATTAAAAAAAATCTGATTATTCAAATTTGACATGTCTTGACATTTTTTCCCAAAAATTCATCAATTTCATTTGCACCTGCTTTTCCATTACAAACCAACTGGTATTTCAAATTATAAGAAAATAATTTCATAGCATGTTTACTGATGATCTTAACAGTTTTAAACATTTCAAGAGTTGTAGACACATAAGTACATGTATGAGAAACTTAAAGCAAGTTTTGACAATTTTAACATTACACATTTAACTTACAAAATTTGCATTTGTAGGGTTTGTCTCCAGTGTGAGCCCTCATATGAAGGTGAAGTTTGTCCACTCGACTAAACGAGCGGTCGCAATATTTACAAGAAAACGGTTTCTCTCCAGTGTGGGTCCTGAAGTGTCGCTCCAGATCTTTTAAATATGCAGATGAGAATGTGCATTTATCGTCATAATGACATTTGAACTTTTTCACAGGCGGAGTTCTGATCTTGCGTGGAGTTCCTGGACATTTTGTCGGAGATCCTGAGTACAACAAATATAAATGTAACTAAACAACATACTTCCTAAGGGTTATTCCCAATATGAATGCAGGGAAGCACTTTTAATTATGAATACACAGGTGTTCCGATCTGTTAGCATGCGAGTACACAGTGGCCATGATCACCAGAAACAAAATCAGTGTGAATGGTGCAAGCCATCAAATCAAAAAGTTATTTTTTAATTAGCCCTAGATTTTATATAATATCAGAACAAAGAACTGAAGTGTATACTCTAGCAGTGACGAGCTGTAATTGTACACTGTAATAAATGTGAAAAAATTAATTTCACATACCAAAATGAAATTATGTAATAAATCTTATCTGAATACTTGTCCCTCTGAATAAAACAGTCCCAACATGCATCCCTATTCTCTAACAGATATTATACACACCTGTTGACTTAGAGGCTGATTTAGATGAACTCTTGCCTGAGGACAAATGTGTTTTTGCTCCCCGTGCGATCACCGTTTTGCCGCTAAACTTTCCAAACTTGTGATTATCCAGTACAGGCTGTCCAGTGTTGTCCTGGAAGATCATGTTTTCTTCCTGTATGTTTGACTCCGGTATCTGGAGTATCTGCCCGACACTCTCAGTGTTAGCAGGCTGACTTATATTAACAACATTTACAGAGTACTGTACAGGGTCAAGGTCACCCTGTTGCGGGTCTGTTTCCATAGCAATGTTCTGGAGATCACTTTCTACCACTCCAGACATTCTGGCTGCCTGTTGTGCCAAGTCTTGTACATGAATCACAGGGCAACTGCTGGGGTCACTTCTGTCTAACTGACCAGCTGGGTCAAAGGTCACTTGTGGTGAATGTTCAATCAACTGTCTCCGATTGATCTGGTCAATTAAGTTCACACTATGTAAATCAGATGGAGTAACTGTTAAAGGCTGACTGACCGGAGTTGAAATCAGAGGCACAGAGCCGTTCTGGCCAAGTTGCACTACTTGTGCAGTGGAGGGGTGAGTTGTTCCCTCTGTTGTAGTCAGGACAGGACCTGTAACAGAAACAATTGTTTTCCTGTGATTTTCAGTTCATGTATATGTATATATATATAATGGCCAAATTCTGAAAAACATGCAGTCATAATCACCAATTCAGATAATATGTCAAAAAAGTCTATACGTGAACACTTTATATAAGAAAACTGTTTATTTGGTACAAGTTTATATTTTGACAAGCCCTATCGCCTTATTGACTTGACATCAGCAGTGACTTTTCCTCTCACCATATGAACCCTCACCATTTGTGGCCCCCGTACTGTTGGCACGGAGGTACTGTATGAAGTTAAGCATGGCCTGGCCCTGTTGGCTGATTTCAGCCTCACTTTGATCCGTCCCATCAGGTGGCATGGTCTGCACGACAAGCAGCTCCCCCTTTTCTGTAAGAATGATCTGTGACTCAGATTTGTTTTGATTGGTTGTCTGAATGAGTGCAGGCCTCTGATTGGTCTGAATGTACTCGTGGCCCTGTGGTGGGGTTATCATGAAGGTGGACCCGACCCCTTCATGCTCACTTGGGTGTGGTGTTCCCATTGTAGTGCCTTGTACTACAGGCAGGCCTGGAGATTGAACTTGGATTCCCATGTTTGAACTCAAAGATGTTGTTACCATTGAATAGTTTGCTTTGGACACAGATATCTGAAAACAGACACAAACACTTAACTTACATTAAATTCCTATTTACTGTTTCTGACTTCCACATCTAAATTACATCTATCATTACTAGGGGTGATTTAGTACAGTTATTTAGTCATATAAAAATGTGATTTTGTAAGGGACAGAAAGAAGTTTAAATGAAAGTTCACTTTTCACAGTCTTCCAAAGAGAAAATGTCATCAAATCTTTATGACATGGGTTCTAAAACAGAACGAAAAAACTGAGACATTATTATAAAGTTGAAATAAGCTTTTGTTTTAACAAATGAACTGGGAATACAAAGTAGTGCTACTACCATGATTTTGAGAGATGACATAGAATCCCTTGTTTTCATCCTCCTTCAAAGTCAAATTAAGCTGTATATTAACAATACCTGGTACATTGAAAAATTTCAATATATTTCAGATCCATATTTGATCATGGAAATGTTTACCCAATAATTGCCGTTAAACAAAACAAGTTCAGCACAAGCAGTGGCAGTGTATCAGCCTGGAGTGTTTAGTACTGTTATAACTTTGAACAAGACAATACTGGCATCATCCCAGGGGGCATGCACAGACAACATGAGATCATCTGTCTCTTTATACCACAACAATCTGATTACACTCCATCTGTATGGGCCACTAGTCCTAGATAGAAATACATCGTAAGAAAACAGATGACTTTTGCAGTATTTTTCACATTCCTGATTTTGAAATATCAAATTTCTTTCACTTTTGAAATCTCAAAACAAAAAATCATCTTCTCCCAAACTGCTCTAATCATATGTTCCTGAGGTGAGCCTCTTATCAATCAATGGACTGGTAATTATGATTTATAAGATTTATGTATCAACTCATGCTTTATGAGAACTCGGTTTTCCGCTATACCTGTTGTTGGCTGTCCCCAGGAGCTACTGCTACTCTGTCCTGGTGACTCAGCGAGGTACTAGCGGCTGCTGACTGCAGCACGGCCGGACATGAGAGCCGTTTGTGGAGCAGGAAGAGATCCACATTATGGAACTCTGTTCGACAGGCACCACAAATGTGGATGTCAGTAATGTCATCAGCGGACACTGAAACGAAACATAGACCAATGTTGTCATATCTGTAATAGTGTGACAAGAAACAACAAACAATCCATACTGTGTCAGTGACTTGTCATATTTAGACAATCCATACTGTGTCCGTGACAGTGACTAGTCATACTTTTGTGTTAATTAATCATCAATTTACTTATCAAAGTACAACAAATAAAACCATATATTCTATAAACTGTAAAATCCACCAATTCCAATTTTGATGTGCACAATACATTATTATTTTAAATCTCTTCATAATTCATGAAACGATTGTTATTATAATTACATATTGGTATATTATTTATAACAAACACTTGATAAGCTAAAAATAATCACATTAAACAAGAAAATCATATATTAACAATTTTTGGATGGAAATAAATGACAAAATATACATCCTCTGTTGGAATCAGCAAGTCTGGTGTGAGGGTAGGAGGAGGCTCATCCTACTGGTGTCATGTTACGTGATAAATCTGTTAAACTTTTCTGTGTTTTATACAATTTCTTGATCTAAAACATTTGGTACTATTTAATATTTTAGTGAAGTTCAGTTTTGTAATGTCTCTGTATACAGTAAGATATGGAGAGCCAACTTGAAGTTGGCATACCAGTTGTGCAGTCTTGAGGCAAGACATGATGGTCTCATTGTCGAATGCTTGATTTTACCATTTTGCAGAGAAGAGTACAGAAATGGTGAAAAAGGAAGAGAAAATTGTGACAAGTGCTAGAGAATGTTACATCCTGTTCAAGTTTCAACTGTAATCTTAAATGCTATTTGATAAAATTGCTTATAACTTTCAAAAGAACACAGCTAGGAGAGTTTAAAATATATTTGAAGAAGCAGACCATGTGTTTGTCAGAGTTGCAAAAGTTCCAATCCTGTTCATTGGTTTTGTTTTGCTTGTTTCTATAGTACAGTTGTATAATGTCGCCTCTTCCTGGCGGTAAGTCAGATACTTAGATGTGTCTCTGAAGGTTTTATGTTGTCCTCCTATGCCTATGTCACATGTTTAATAATTTTAGTTTTAATTACATATTTAAATATAAATTTTTATGTTCTGCAATATCTGTTTTGGTCTTAGCTCAGGCTATATTAGCATATATATTTGGTCAATTTTAACAATTTTCCATATTGGTATATGAATATTAGACACAATATGTTTTCCTTAATTTCTAAAATGCATCATGAGAGTTCATGGCTTGCATCACATTTTAATCAAATCACCGGGTTTTTTCATTACACACGTGACATATTCTTGACTTTCCAAACCTGTGATACTAGTCTTACCTGTGAATGATACTATATTAACCTAAGGCCAAATAAAAATATAGCTGTGTTTCATGTTTCCTGACCAACCCCAATACATTTTATTGGTTCTTCAGTCACTGAAAGTAAACATAATTTGCTATGCATTTTATTACCCTTGGCTTGTGGTCAATGTCAAGAGTTTTATTTGAAGAGGGTAGCTAAGTAGCCATAGATAATTGTGCTTATGATACAGGTTGGGGTCTGTAGATTAGTGGTGACTGTCTGTAGTCTAGGTGGGGGGAGTCCTCAAGCTGGAGTCAAATTGAACAGAATTTATGGCAAGTTTAACCTAGTCATATAGGGGTGGAATTTTAGCAGGATTTCAGCAGCATCAACAAGTGTAATGTATCAATATTTGCAATGGGAATTAGGAAATTAGTAATAATAGTAGTTTTAGCAGTAGTTTGTAGATCTGTGTAGTTTTATAGTTTATAGTTGGAGATAAGTTTGAAGTGGAGAGATTAAGTTCACAACACAATGGTGAAGACTTGTATATTTTATGACGGATTTAAAAGCTTGTGTTGTAAATATAGTGTAAATAAAATGTACTTGTTTTGTGGTTCAATTAATTTGAACTGATGGCCATGGAAATAGAGAACAGAAAGTATCAGCAATGCAAAAGAAAATGTAACACTGGTGACCATCAGTGAAGTTTGGATTACTAAAACTAGTGTCAAGGGATAATTTAGAAATGTAATGTGTTGGTTCCATAAACATTTAGGTGGGTCAAATAAAATTTACTTCAAAGCTTCATTTGGGCCTGCTCAACTCAAAAACTAGGAATGCAGGGATTTTTTATTTGTGTTTATTTGGTGCCGTTGATACTTCATTAAAACAATAACATATCACGGAGGTAATCAGGAGGTTTTCTTCACTAGAAATAAAAAATAAAATAAAATGTTTTTCCGTAACCTATCTTCCCTATTTTTTTGGAGCCAAAACAGGAAACAAACATATATTTTGTATCTAGCCTAATGTATTTTATGTGTGCATGTATGCTATGTATCTTTTTCTTACTCATGTTGTAAATATTGTATATTTTATTTTGACCACATATAAGATGAGTCCTCGACTCAATGCGTTATCAAATTTAAATAAAGCCTATTATTATTATGAGCTGGCAATAAGCAAAAATGACATGCCAAATCAAGTATGAACTTAGAAATTTTGGACTAAGTTATTATGTACAAATGCAGCAATTAAATTGAACATATATGGTCTTTTTTTAACAAAAGATTTCAAGCATTTATATGCTAAATTGTCAAAGCTCAAAAATTCTGCTTCCAAAAATGTTTTTATATTTTGAGAGAAAAGACACCAAAATTTTGAATGTGGAACTCTGTAAGTTTAATTGCACTTATCAATAACTAGTGGGCTGCACAACTGCATTTTATTTTCATAATTTGGCCAACGCCAGCAAAAGCCTGAGTTTCTTCTAGCCCTGACACCAGACTTAGACAATTTGACAGATAGATGTCTGGACACACATACATCCATCTGTCAAAATGTCAAAGTCTGGTGTACATGTCGGGGCCAGAGGAAACTCGGTCTACGCCAGCAGAGCTAGAAAGGTGAGAAACCACCGCAGGTCACAGGTGCTGGACACACTTATAGCGTAATATGATGCGTAAAAGTGGACTTCCTATAAATATGAGGAAAGTAATGCACCGTTGTTACAACATAATATTTTTGAACGAGGGCGCTTGACGGATAGTCCGCACATGTTTTCAGTGTAAAAGTAGGGGCCTCGTGATTAACAAACGCTTGGTCAGGGCCAGGGTAGGCCCAGGTCATGCATTTCACCGTAAACTGCGATAATGTGATCATCGATCGATGGTCTCAAGGCTAATAAACAAACACCTTACTTTTCAGAATGATGCGAAGATCAATCCTTTCATTGTGTGCCAAAAATTAAAGGATTGATAGAAAAGAATAATTCGGGGCCGCAAAAATGGACAAGATGGCGCATACGATACTCGCTACCGGAAATGACGTTCTCAAACTAATTTCCTACTGGAAAATCCGCATTTTGTCAAAACTTCAACCAAATAAAAAATGTCAAAACTATACTTACGTTCGCTTACATACTTTCTAGAGGTTTGTACAAAAATAACCCTCTTCTTTGTTGGTTCCAAAATGGCAAAGTTGTATGTAACAACAGCAAAGCAAAAATAAATGCCTTCAAAAGGATTGAAAATACAGGGTTTCAAAAATAAGAATATTCATATATAAATAAAGGATGATTGTCAAATAACAATATTCGATTAATAAACACAATTATTAGTGAATTCCTCTTTTTTCTTTAATACAATGTATGTTTGTATAGTGTCACCAAATATAGTAAGTATATGATATTATATATGTCATCTCAGATTGGAACACAGAGCCCTATGAAAACAAAAATTTTGATAATTAAAAACTTTACAAGCCTTTTTTCTCTCATGAACAAGCAAGATATTTTTTCATAGAAAGCCATTCACATGAGGAATTGTGGGTTTCACAAAACCTGCTTATTATATCAATAAAAGTATGTATTTTGCACATATGGCATCTGTAGATATGCCACAGTTTTAAAACTTTAGAAAGAATGGAACTGCCTTTTCCAAAAAATCTTGTGTTGTAATAGAAAAGAAGTCACATTTTTTACTCTTAAATCTACACCTGGCAGCTTTACTTTAAAGTGAGAGTTTTATCTGTGTGACTTTAGTATTCCAAGCTGACAGCAGCACAACATATTATGTACTTTCTTTGCAGGGAGAGAAAACCGATTTTTTTTAAACAGAAGCCTAAAGCTAAAGCTATTAATATGGATTTGTTTACCATATACATGTAATAGGAATCTGCCTCAAAAAATGTATCTCCTTTTTGTATCATGCGTCAAAAAATATCTCTCCTTGTGTTTTTATACACTTATACACTTTATCAAATAAACATACATGGTTTATGTTTATTTGATAAAGTGTTAATATAAGTGTCAAAATTCATCATTACAATTAAGAAGTTTAAAAATCATAAATTTCGATTTATCTTTTAACACAAACTGGTTTTATTTATTGTAAAAGGTTATTATTTACTGTCGGTGTGTAATCCTGGTTCCTTTATCTTATCTGAATGATTTAATTTAAATATTTCATTTGTCCTTAAAATGTAATGGAAGTAGCCGGTAAAAATGCCCTTTTGCTAGATATTTCAACGGCTAGATTCATGATTTTTTTTAGAAGAATGATAATTGTTTATTGTGAAATGTATTGAAATTAACTGCTCATTTGTGTTGGATACATGCAATTTGAAACCTCATTGAAACCCCTGAACCTATCAAACCACTTTGCATTTTTAACACAAACCTAGTTGTAAGAAACTGAACACTGATAACCACATGATATTTTGATTATTTTTTCCTAAAAACATTTTAAACAGTTTTGATTTCAACTTTAAGACATTTTATCCAAAAAGTAAAGCTTCCCTACATTCTACAAACTCCCCTTATTTGGTAAAAAGTCCCCCTTTTAATTACAAAATTCCCCATCACAACCATATACTGTGATAATTATAGAGCTAGTATTGCCTGTAACCACTGTATCCTAGTAACTAGTCAAAGTTACTGTATTTCTCTATAACCATGGAACTGCTGTATCTTACTTATTACCCAGTTATTGGTACTTCTCTGTAACTGTGGAACTGCTGTATCTTACTTATTAGTCAGTTATTGTCCTCTGTAACCATGGAACTGCTGTATCCTAGTTTCTAGTCAGTTACTGTATATCTATGTTACTATGGAACTGCTGTATCCTTGTTACTAGTCAGTTACTGCATTTCTCTGTAACCATGGAACTGCTGTATCCTAGTTACTAGTCAGTAACTGTATTTCTCTGTAACCATGGAACTGCTATATCCTAGTTACTAGTCACAAATATTGTTCTTCTATGTTACCTTGGAAATGCTGTATTCTAGTTTCTGGTCAGTTAGTGTATTTCTCTGTAACCATGGAACTGCTGTTCTCTTATTTCTAGTCACAGTTATCGTTCTTCTATGTAACCATGGAAATACTGTATCCTCGTTACTAGTCAGTTACTGTATTTCTCTGTAACCATGGAACTGCTATATCCTAGTTACTAGTCAGTTTCTGTATTTCTCTGTAACCATGGAACTGCTTTATCCTAGTTTCTAGTCAGTTACCGTATTTCTCTGTAACCATGGAACTGATGTTCTCTTATTTCTAGTCACAGTTATCGTTCTTCTATGTAACCATGGAAATACTGTATCCTCGTTACTAGTCAGTTACTGTATTTCTCTGTGACATTGGAACTGCTATATCCTAGTTACTAGTCACAGTTATTGTTCTTCTATGTTACCATGGAACAGCTGTATCCTTGTTACTAGTCAGTTACTGTATATCTCTGTTACTATGGAACTGCTGTATCCTAGTTACTAAGTTACTGTATTTCTCTGTAACCATCAAACTGCTATATCCTAGTTACTAGTCACAGTTATTGTACCTATGTACAATGGAACTGCTGTTTCCTTGTTACTAGTCAGTTAATGTATTTCTCTGTAACCATGGAACTGCTGTTCTCTAGTTTCTAATCACAGTAACTGTATTTCTCTGTAACCATGGAACTGCTGTATCCTAGTTTCTAAGTGATTTACTGTATATCTCTGTAACCATGGAACTGCTGTTCTCTAGTTTATAATCACAGTTACTATATTTCTCTGTAACCATAAACATGCTGTATCCTAGTTTCTAGTCAGTTACTGTAATTATCTGTAACCATGGAAATGCTGTATCCTAGTTACTAGTCAGTTACTGTATTTCTCTGTAACCATGCAAATGCTGTATGCTAGTTTCTAGTCGGTTACTGTATATTTCTGTTACTATGGAAATGCTGTATCCTAGTTACTAGTCAGTTACTGTATTTCTCTATAATCATGGACATGCTGTATCCTAGATTCTAGACAGTTACTGTATATCTGTTACTATGAAACTGCTGTATCCTAGTTTCTAGTCAGTTACTGTATATCTGTTACTATGGAAATGATGTATCCTAGTTACTAGTCAGTTACTGTATTTCTCTGTAACCATGGAAATGCTGTATCCTAGTTTCTAGTCAGTTACTGTATATCTGTTACCATGGAACTGCTGTATCCTAGTTTCTAGTCACAGTTATTAATCTTCCATGTAACCATGGAACTGCTGTATCTTAGTTACTAGTAAAAGCTAATTTCATCAGGATATTTATACTCAGATTAATGTTTTAAGCTATTAAGTTCAATGTGTCCACCAGACTAGCTTCTATTTGGGACACTTTCTGATTACACACCTTTTTATTCAACAGCTAACGTAACATTTTGTTTTGGAGAGTTTGACTTGGTACACACCATACCAATAGAACAGAGAACTATTTAACAAACCAATAAGTCCTGTAAATTGCTAAAGATTAGTGACTAACAGTCTCAATCATTATGTTATAATCGTGGGTATAATTTTGTTGAACAATGCTGAGAGATCAAGAGGCTCTAAAAGAATTTCGTTATCTCTTTCAATTATTTAGGAAGAAAATGTGAGGCCCAAAGACCCAGAATCATTCATCTGAATTGAATTCTTTTGAAGAAAAAAAAGATGGACAGATGTTTAACATCTGGTTCTTCAGCCTGTTTGATTTATAGAGAACGTCTCTCATACCATGCTGCCATCACTTTAGGCTAGATGACAAGATAATTTTCAGTTGAAAAAACTTCATTAATTATGAATTGATAGAGAAAAATTTGTTCCTATTAAATTATTTAAATAAATAATGTTTTGTTTGGAAGTTAATACATAGTGCAGTATGTACTTTGCCAAAACAAGACACTTGAAAAATCAATCTGGCAAAAAACATATGTACAGGTATAGAAAATATCTTGTTTTTGCACAAGAAACACAATTACTTGGAAAAGACTAATACAATATGCATGCAGAAATAAAAATTAACAATACACACAATCATCATACATTGAAACAAACACAATATACTGATATATTTTTTCTAGTTTATCCTGTAAAAAGTTGTCATGAACATAACTACCCTAGTATCTTAATACTTACTGGTTTCTGAGTACATCTCCTATGCCTAATTTTCCCTTTAGTTCAGTTATATTGTGAACTATACTATTTCACCCAGTAGAAATTTGAAGTTGTTATCTTAAAAATTTGTATTGAAAAATAAATAAAAAATTGCTTAGTATATTTGAGAACTTACTGTAATTTTGTGTCAAAACATTAAATAATGGATTAGAAATAGAAAATACTTTCATTAACAAAATATTTGTATTAAACAATTTAGTAAACGTTGTTTTTCAATGGGTTTAAAACATTCAATAATATATTGATACAAACTTGAAACATCTTGAACAAAAATATCTTACCGATACAAAACATGACTTCCTGCAAAAGCTGCTATCAATCTCCATGTAGTCTGCATCGGGGCACTGGCATTCAAATTATCCAAGCATGGCAAAAATTCTCAAAAATGTATGTATGTGTGTGTACTCTTTCAAAAAAAACCTCTTATATAGAAAATCTTGTGGAGTATGAATTACTTAAAGCTGGAGTAAACTTATGAATGGCATAGTAATGTTTTTTTGTTTTGTTTTTATAAAATATTGTTTTTTTCTATTCAAGCTATATTCGGTTCAAAAAAAATAATTATCCCGTCTTCATTTGGTTTCATGATTTTTGAGGTTGTAAACTAAGTATCCAATCAATTTTCACATTTCTTAGAATTATTGGATTCTAATTGTCAAGTTGTCATAAGAAAAATCAAGAAACTTGTATTTATATAACAATAAAATCGTTTCTTTTACATATGCACTGAACTGAAATTACAAATACATCGAATGAAAAAACTATTTCAAACCTCACTTTCCTCTTATCAATATTAGTATTCATTCATTCCTAATAGTTGTTGATAAAGAAGGAATTTATTATACATGATATTTTCTTTTTTTAGAATTGCTCTTTTATGTTTAATATCCTATTTTAGATTTGTTAATTCTTTGTGAGATAACCGGAAAGTCTATTAAAAATATGTGGCAATAATTTTGAAAATCAATTAAATATTTAATTTGCAATCTCAAAAGTGGAAAAACCAAAGCAAGCGGGAGAAAAGATAAACAGATATATCACCTTAAAAGAAAAACTTCAATATTGTTGTAAATAACCCTGTGATGTGTCATTGTTTACCACGGTAATGTTTTTCTTCGAAACCAGATATTTTCAGCGACTGTAGTTGGTACATATACGTGTTTAAAATCATTAAAAGTGGGGTTCCCTATTTAAGATGTAAAACATTAAGAAAGCATGTATTTTCTTATGAATTTTGATAAAAATTTACAGCATAAAATCTGAGATCTGTCAGCTAAGTAACGGATTTGGTTTTGCTCAGGAGACTGTGTATGCTGTTCATCTATTAGCAAATCACAAGCATATGATTCAATAAGAATCTTATTTCCAATACTACTTTTTTTTTCCCCAAGACATCTGCCATGGAAAATCTGGAACTACCCGACACCCATTCAGGTGTAACTTCCTTAGTCGGTCATGAACCTTTTTTAAAAGGAAGATTGTTTAAAAAGATTTACCAGCAAAGTGTTCATAGGCATTCATTTTCACTGATGTCTTGTACATTTATTTTACCTCAAAAACTGGCCAAAATGATCCAAAATCAAAGTGTAATAATAAATATTGATTTCTAAATATTGAATAGGGAGTTCAGATTTCTACACCACTATCTGTTAAGATAACTGTCTCGGTAAAACATCTTTATCCATATTTATCCGGTAAAAAACCAGAAGAGGTATTTCTTCAAAAGCAATACCCATTTTTTTTTTACAGGCTTTTTTTTTATCTTGAAGGAAAAAACACATCATCATTTGAGCTGTATTGTGTATTATTTGTGTTGGAATATGGAACAATTGAAGTGTTCTTTGTAATATATTTTAAACGGTTTTGTCACATTAATTTTTCCATGAAAAGTATACAACCTTCGTCTATTCCATAGCTCTGATAAAAGGTTATACATCTTAATAATTGTCTAGGTAAACTGTATGCTATGCAGTAAGACTGATGTATAATTATGAACACAACATTTTAACCCATTTACTTGAGAAAATGACTTCTTAGTCACATACTAACAACCCTGTTTTCCAGACAATATAATCAGAAAAGGGGCATAACACTCATACAACATTTTAAACAAAACTATATTGTAACTGAACAAATCTTTTAGTTACTGACCATGTCAACAAAGTTTCATCTATATCCATTAAGAAATGAAGTAGGGATACCAAGGATAAAAACTACAAGAAACTCGAAAAAGGGGCATAACTCCCACAAAAAAAAATCCATTGGTAAAAAGTTAAGCACATGTCCGACTGGTCATGAAGTTTTTACGAAATTCGGATTGAAATTGTAAATGTGTGGACAGACAAGATAAAAAAAACTGGACCCAAAAGTAAGTTAAAGTGCACAAATTTATAGGATGGGCACTACACTAGTGGAGTTTCACAAAATATAGATAAAAACTTCATAAGTAGTATGAGGTAAAATTTCAGTAATAATCTTGTAAAAAGAAGCATAACTTAAACAGCGGGATAAAAAAGTATGAGCAGCTACTCAACTTCAGAGGGCAGTGACTTCCATCAATGGAGTTTCACAATGCATCAATGTTGATTCTAATTTACTTCCCATTGCTACCCTGCAGCAGTATTAGAACTTCTTGCAATCTGAACTATATTTTAATATATGTATTTTATTTTCAGGAGAAAGTAGACTGTAGTTCAATTTCAAAATGTGTGATCAATAACTGGACATTTTCAAACTTCTTATTGAAATGATTTCTAATATTTATTTATTATTATTATTTTGCAATTTAATCTCTATTCAAGAGTTTATGCTTTTTGATTATTTTAGAGATTGGACATTTGCATAACACATGATTGTAAAATTATGCAAGAATATTTTGTTTACGTGTTCTTTCAGCACAACCTGTGCAGTGTTTGTTAAAAGAACAAGAGGACAATTAAATCAGAAATCACTACAGTACCCTCATATATTATTAATGTTTCAAATGACAAATTGATTCAGCCATGCATTTTCATAGTTGTGAAAAATGTTATACGCCCTAACATCTCAATGCAAAAATGCCAGTTTTATTTGAAAGGAAGAACAGTTTTCTACCCATTTCTGTAGCTCATACGTGACTTCCAAGACAGTCACTCAAGATAGGAAATTTTGTGTCTTATTCAATGTTCACCATAAGACAGATTTACAATTAAAAATCTTCATATGAATATACCAGTAGCTAAACATCTGTCAAATCAATCACGTACATATCTAAACAGTACCTCAGTATTTGAACGTGATCTTTTCTACTTATTTGCTTCATCTATATAATTTAAATAATCCTAATATCTTAAACATCCACTCCAGTGCCATAAACATTGTTTCATAGAAAGCTTTTGGAAGCTGGTCTTTCATTGATTGGCAATGCAATTAAAATCACAAGGCTTGATGAAAACGATCAAGAGGATATCAATTTTACTTAATAATAAAAATATGTGCGTTTAGTTTATTGTAATGCGTACATGTACTTTTATTAACAGGTAAGATCCATTTTCCAAGTATCTAAATGTTTCATAAGATATTCAAAACTACAAGCCTAAATTTCAAATATGCCTATTTTTTTTTTTAGATATATCAGTTCAATAAATCAAAGTTGAAATTTTATTTCTGGATAGAAATTTTCTGTAAAATGAGCTGTGTAAGTTTGTAAGACATGAGTTTGGAATAAATAAGATTATGAAGGCTTGATAAACGTAACAATGTTTGTTTTATAGAAAATTAACGGCTGAATTATTTAAGTAATTGCAAACAAACTCCATTACCATATAAAATTGATTTCAGATACATTTATATGGGAAAAGTCCTTAAATATGCAGTTTGGTTTATGTGAAACCATACATCAGACTTATTAAAAGGTACATTGGATTTCTATTTAAAAGATTTATAAAATCCTTGAATATGCACTTTCATTTGAGTGAAAAATAAGTGTGATTTATATTTAAAGGAGATGTTGATTTTTTCCCCTTGATTTATGTACTTTCCTATGTGAAGAAGATAAATAATGTAGAAGAATATTGCACCTCCGTAGAGTAAACAAATCATTTCTGTGTTTCACTTAACTGAAATCTGTTTTCTACACGACCATTTAGAGTCAAATGAAATCAGTTATTTGAAAGACTGACATGCTCATGGATATATATAGGCCTTTTAAAACCAAATATTGGCCAGTTCCCCATTCCAATTTTGGCATTATTTTCCCTTATTTCAGCTTTATTTTCCCTTATTTCAGTTAAAAATTCACCCCATTGTAACTAAAATACTACCACATGAATATCTGTCTTGGTTCCATTTTTCTTTTAACTGTCCATCAGTTCCACAACTGAGTGATTTATTTCATTTCCCCTGTGTTGATGTCAATTGTCACCGCTTTATTTTATAATGTATAATGAAAAACAAGGAACAAAATTAAAGAGGTAACCATGCCCCCTTCTAGTACTCCCTCCCTGGCTCTGACCTGCAGCCGGCGATGGACAGGTTATGCACCTACAGCGCATATTTTCCCCTATTTCAAAAAAGTGTACCAACTTTCTATTCCTGCATTAATCCCTGATGCTGTGTCAAAAAATCGCAACCAACATAAAATGCAACAATTTCATCTTCAGGCATTAAAAAAAAGAGATGCAAAAACAAATAATTGTCCCTAGATGTTATTTTATTTGAGAAAAAAATTTATGTTAACAAATACATAAATCAAAATTACTTTCGACAAAGATTCGTGGAACAAAGGGTACATATAACACATTACTTAATAATGGGAAATTGATACAAAAATTCAAGCTATTCAAATATTTTTCAATTTAGAATGTTCTTCAAAAATTTGAACTTTTTCCATGAATTTTTTGGACATAAAACGTAACAGGTTGCACGGTACAAAATTTATGTTAAACATATAACTAAATACTTTCTCAAAACAAGTTCTTCCCTGAAGAAAAGCTTGAAAAATCAGTACCAACAAAATTCTACAAAATCGGAAGATATTACTTGTTTACCAGGTAATAACATGTCATCGTTGATAATCATTTAACTATTTACTGAAAAGGGTCAAAACAAACGATCAATAATGAATTAATAGCTGATCAATTAACAGAATGAAACAGAAACCAATAGATGGATCATTGACAACAGGTGAAATATTGACAAAGTTTTAATTAACTGAAAATGTACAAATAATAATTGTTTGACGTCGCTATCTAAAAAACACATTTGGGACTTGTTATAAAAGACTGAATGAACAACAAAGACTTTACTGCTACAGTTCATCAATATTATCGAGATACACACACAGTGAAATTGTTTTCGACATTGGTCGGATTTACAAAAAAAAATAACAAGTAATTATCTATTAAAGGATAGACCTAATTATTATTTCCAATATGATTAAAGGATGATTTACTATGGTGGGAAATGAACATCTATATACATACATACAAAGAGAACTCCATGATGAGAAATGAACATTTACAAGAAGTTTATGCTACAGTAACAATTTGATAAATGCACATCAAATAATCCACTTGATATACCCTAGTCATAATACACCAAACAAAAATGTAACATTACCATATTTACATCAATGGTCTCCCCTCGAAGTAATGGCTGGGACAGTTCAATGTCCGAACACAAACTCAGTGTTTGAACAAAAACGCCCTTTAGACTAAACATGAAGGCATAATGGAAAATGTGGCATTGTATTTTTAAACACTTTTATACATCTAAAATCATGGAGCTATTGCAATAACAGAATCGACTCAACACATGCTTGTAATAGAGCAAAATTCATATTACAGATTAATTAATAGATCAGTCTGACAATTTGCCAGAAAAAGAATTCATTGCAATTCAAAAAATTCTCAATCTTAAATCTATGCACTCGAAGTTTGAAAATCAGCATCTGAATCCACATCTGATCAACTAAGTGGATGTGTTACCCGTCTCAACACAGGAACAATGGTGCCCACAACAAAATATTCTAATTATGCAAAACAAAATGTACAATACACTTATAGATACCAGATACCTTGAACAAGCTCATCAAATAATAACAAAAATTGCAACAATTTACTACAGCTTGTGGCTACAGATCCCAGGTGTTGGTTACCTCCCTTGTAAATCCTGTGAGTCGTTTGTGCTAGCCACTGGCCAGGACTGTAAAATGAACTTTTGACAATAAACAGTGAACTCTCCTCACCCTCAGGGAGATGACACATTCCCTGCTCACTCCCCGTTGACTTCTCCCTCTCCGTCCGCGACCAACACCTCCTGTAACAAAACAATAAGGTATGTTTTAATCATCTGAATTATACAAAATTTTACTTGTCCAAATAAAATATCTTTGTCAAAAAAAAGAGTGGAAATGATATAATCTGTTTTGACAAACAATTTTTTGTATTGATCTTCAGGACAAAATCCACAATGTTATGATAGTTTTATAGTAAATGTGTCTTTTATATTCCTGTAACAATCAGCATTGTTTCATCCCAATATGATAAAGATCTCTTTTGATGAGCAGATGTATCACAATGTCCTTAATATCATTTCTATCACTTACCTCGACAACTACTTCTGTGTTTTCCTCTCCTTCCTAAAAATAAAAAGTTTCGTTCATGCAATCAAATTTGACGTTATAAGTAAGGAAAATATCCTAATCAAGCAATCTTGACAATTCCTTGCATGATAACATTTGATGAGGCTTTAGAACCTTGGAATGTCCTCTTTTGTACAAGTACGCAATTATATGGTAGGACATGACACTTTGCGATACAATTCATGGTTTCGAGGTCACAATTTAGCAACCTCTGCAATACGACTTATTCAGTCCACATGTACAACCAACTGCAAAAGTTTGTACAATTCAACAACACATGTGAAAAAAATCAATTGTGTTAATATACAGTAGTTTGTTTACCATACTTAACTTGACCTATAATAATACAAATTTCATTTTGACCTATGATAATACAAAGTTCATTAAGTTGATGAGGTGGTATCAGAAAAGAAATCAACATATGTATTCAGAGAGATTCCCATTTCTTGTTTTTATCATCATTTACCACCATATCCCTAGACAAAGATCAAGCATGGAATTAGTCTAATAAGACAACAGATAAGTAGAATTTAAGAAATATCATTGTGCATATTCACCCATCAAGTTCAAGAAATGTTACCCTAAATGGCAATAAGAATTATTCATTTATACCAAAGACAATTTCTAAAAGGTGATGACCAGGTGAAAAACTTGGTACTAAAGAGGTGTTGTCTATCTCAGTGTTTCTACAGGAAGCGCAATAACTTTGTTTTAAATTATGAATGTGTCATCATGGTGAGGGTACTCAATCCCTAATGACAGGCTAAGCCATAAAGCTTGGATTAAGAGTGAATGTTGATATCTATATAACCGTTGTTGTGTATTTACCTGTTTGTAGATGGATAGGCTGTGTTCCTGCTGTGCGTGGAGAACAAGATCCCAGCATGCTGCAAACTGGGCGTCACAATGAGCACAGAACAAGACGGCTGGCTCAGGGCTCTCTGTAAGGAGGGACAAAGGATATCACGAGTGTTTTCTGAGTACTATTACAGAATAAGATGGCTGGCTCAGGGCTCTCTGTAAGGAGGGACAAAGGATATCACATGTGTTTTCTGAGTACTATTACAGAATAAGATGGCTGGCTCAGGGCTCTCTGTAAGGAGGGACAAAGGATATCACATGTGTTTTCTGAGTACTATTACAGAATAAGATGGCTGGCTCAGGGCTCTCTGTAAGGAGGGACAAAGGATATCACATGTGTTTTCTGAGTACTATTACAGAATAAGATGGCTGGCTCAGGGCTCTCTGTAAGGAGGGACAAAGGATATCACATGTGTTTTCTGAGTACTATTACAGAATAAGATGGCTGGCTCAGGGCTCTCTGTAAGGAGGGACAAAGGATATCACATGTGTTTTCTGAGTACTATTACAGAATAAGATGGCTGGCTCAGGGCTCTCTGTAAGGAGGGACAAAGGATATCACATGTGTTTTCTGAGTACTATTACAGAATAAGATGGCTGGCTCAGGGCTCTCTGTAAGGAGGGACAAAGGATATCACATGTGTTTTCTGAGTACTATTACAGAATAAGATGGCTGGCTCAGGGCTCTCTGTAAGGAGGGACAAAGGATATCACATGTGTTTTCTGAGTACTATTACAGAATAAGATGGCTGGCTCAGGGCTCTCTGTAAGGAGGGACAAAGGATATCACATGTGTTTTCTGAGTACTATTACAGAATAAGATGGCTGGCTCAGGGCTCTCTGTAAGGAGGGACAAAGGATATCACATGTGTTTTCTGAGTACTATTACAGAATAAGATGGCTGGCTCAGGGCTCTCTGTAAGGAGGGACAAAGGATATCACATGTGTTTTCTGAGTACTATTACAGAATAAGATGGCTGGCTCAGGGCTCTCTGTAAGGAGGGACAAAGGATATCACATGTGTTTTCTGAGTACTATTACAGAATAAGATGGCTGGCTCAGGGCTCTCTGTAAGGAGGGACAAAGGATATCACATGTGTTTTCTGAGTACTATTACAGAATAAGATGGCTGGCTCAGGGCTCTCTGTAAGGAGGGACAAAGGATATCACATGTGTTTTCTGAGTACTATTACAGAATAAGATGGCTGGCTCAGGGCTCTCTGTAAGGAGGGACAAAGGATATCACATGTGTTTTCTGAGTACTATTACAGAATAAGATGGCTGGCTCAGGGCTCTCTGTAAGGAGGGACAAAGGATATCACATGTGTTTTCTGAGTACTATTACAGAATAAGATGGCTGGCTCAGGGCTCTCTGTAAGGAGGGACAAAGGATATCACATGTGTTTTCTGAGTACTATTACAGAATAAGATGGCTGGCTCAGGGCTCTCTGTAAGGAGGGACAAAGGATATCACATGTGTTTTCTGAGTACTATTACAGAATAAGATGGCTGGCTCAGGGCTCTCTGTAAGGAGGGACAAAGGATATCACATGTGTTTTCTGAGTACTATTACAGAATAAGATGGCTGGCTCAGGGCTCTCTGTAAGGAGGGACAAAGGATATCACATGTGTTTTCTGAGTACTATTACAGAATAAGATGGCTGGCTCAGGGCTCTCTGTAAGGAGGGACAAAGGATATCACATGTGTTTTCTGAGTACTATTACAGAATAAGATGGCTGGCTCAGGGCTCTCTGTAAGGAGGGACAAAGGATATCACATGTGTTTTCTGAGTACTATAACAGAATAAGATGGCTGGCTCAGGGCTCTCTGTAACGAGGGACAAAGGATATCACATGTGTTTTCTGAGTACTATTACAGAATAAGACGGCTGGCTCAGGGCTCTCTGTAAGGAGGGACAAAGAATATCACATGTGTTTTCTAAGTAATGATACAGAATAAGATGGCTGGCTCAGGGCTCTCTGTAAGGAGGGACAAAGGATATCACATGTGTTTTTTAAGTAATGTTACAGAAAATATGAAACAGTATGTCATTCTTGTCCTATATATGGCTACAATTAATCATGACAATGATGTGTTTTATTCTCAAATGTTTTCCACTTGTATCAGATGCAAAAGAAAGCTTTTCAATATCCTAACATGACAAAGCAGTATATATTCAAGTAGTGTGCATGTGGTAGACAATGGTAATACAAATCATTAAAAAAAACCACTTGCTTACCAGGACAGACTAGAACTATAAGCCAAAGGCTTACTAATACCCCCGCTCCTATATAAACCAGAACTGTGCGCTAAAGGCTTACTTATGCAAATCAATATAGTCTCCCACCAGTAATGAGTTATGGTAATCAATATTTTATTAAAAACAAAAAATAAACAAGTAGTTCACACAAAGGGGCATAACTCCATCAAAAAGGGTCGAAATCCGAAATTAAAATACCAGTCCGCAACAACATAAGATACCAATCATTCATGCAAAGTTCCAATGAAATTCACCTGTTAGTTAGGAGGAGTTGCACGGACAAGTATTTTGCACAAAGGGGCATAACTCCATCAAAAAGGATTGAAATCCCTAATTAAAATGCCGGTGCACAACTGCATAAGATACTGTTCATTCATGCAAAGTTTCAATGAAATCCACCTGTTAATTAAGAAGGAGTTTTCCGGACAAGTATTTTGCAAAAAGGGGCATAACTCCATCAAAACGGGTCGAAATCCCAAATTAAAATGCCGGTACACAACTACATAAGATACTGATCATTCATGCAAAGTTTCAATGAAATCCACCTGTTAGTTAAGGAGGAGCTGCACGGACAAGTATTTCGCAAAAAGGGGCATAACTCCAACAAAAGGGTCGAAATCCCAAATTAAAATGCTGGTGCACAATTACATAAGATACTGATCATTCATGCAAAGTTTCAATGAAATCCACCTGGTAATTAAGGAGATTTCCGGACAAGTTAATGACGACATCCAGACAGGGTGATTCCAGTATACCCCTCCCTAACTTCGTTGCGGGGGTATCAAAATACCCTATACAGTATTGGCCATTGGAATTGAATTTGAAAGAAGTAAAAAAAAGCTTGAAAAACTAACCATTGGAGTACAATTACCATTAAATAGCAGCATGTCTTACCTGGAGGCGGTGCATCTTTACATATACAGGAGAACCTGAGGCGACATGGGGTCTTCTTGTGTTGAGCCAGACTGTGGAGACTGGCAAACTGACTTTTACAAACACCACAGATCAGCACATCTTTTCCAACTAAGAAACACACACAAGGAGTAAGTAATAAGTTGCACAAAGTCACCATTTGAAATTTTAAGTTATTTTTTCCTTTTTTTGTACCTGTAAATTGAACTCCTTTACAAATCTTACTCTACTAAGTGATTGAATCAGGCTGCTGTCTACATTAGAAGGAGAAAGAAGTTATCAATGATATGACAGTATATAACTGCTCATAAGTGGAACATTTTTTATCTCCATCAGTGGAGATGCATCACAAAAAGTAAACTATAGGACATATCTGTACCAATACAACATACCACACTAACTAAGCTAAATCTTAGATTGATTGCTTTTTTTAATGGATGCTTTCAAGTTTGAATCACCCAAAAGTACATAAAACTGTGTCAAAGATCATTGATACTGCTAGGTCATCTCATTGAAAAGGGAGGAGAAATTATCAAACTTGAAAACATTATATCAGGGAAAGATTTGAGTGTTGTAGTAGATTAAGTTTGGAGTAAATTAAAGTTTTGAGCTATTCGACACATATTCAACAAGCAATAAATAAAGCCAGCAGCATCATAGGTGTCATAAAGTACTCACTTGTGTTTTTGCATGAAAAAATGTTCACAACTCAATTTAAAATGCTGGCTTGACCTCATTTAGAGTATGTTGCAGAACTTGGAGTCCACACAAGATTAAAGACATTGAGAGGATAGAAAACAAAAAGAAGATCGCTAATCCACGGATTTAAGAATATTAGCTACAGCAAGATAGTAGCTTCCCAGGTTGCAGTTTCCAACTCAAGCATACATATGCTTGGGCGAAAATATCATAAACATATTCAAGCTTATGAACTGATTGGGTTATATGATCCAAATTTGGCAGAGGACTAGTTGTTCTAGCTGCACTCAGAAAAAAATTGTGAACACAATAAAAAATAATTCTAACAACATTGCTATTAGATCTTTCAAAGAAAACATTACTTTACTCAAAGAGTAACTTGTGTCTGAAATAGTCTCTCTCAAGATGTTATTTGATATATTTGATTAAGAAAAAATATCTTGATTCATCCACTATTATCCTATTAGATATCAATTTTACACCACGTAAACAGCACCATTATCAGAACATTTTACCCTATCACCCTGTCACATCACTGCATGTGACTTTACTTACTCGTGACCTTGCCAGCACTGGAGGTCACAGCATTTGAACTCTTGTTGAGGCCAGTCTTGGCTACAGTGCCCATGTCCCCAGAGGTAAGACTGACCAGTGTTCTTTTAATGCCACCACTTATCTGCGTGTCCGTCCTCATTTTCTTGGCAGGGGGTCCTCCTCCACTTAGCGTTCGATTTACTCCCACAGATTTAGCTGTAGTACTGTTTATACCATTATAGAGTTGTACATATATGTAAACAATTTCAAAAAAAAACAATGTTCACAAAACAGAAATATAGTTGATTCTTAAAATGAACAAATGCAAAACTTATTTATTTTTCTCTGTCTATATCAACAACAAAATAGCAACACTTTTCTTTATTACATCTTTGTTCTTAAGTTTGTCATCAATTCATCATAAATATAACCTAAAATTCTTTCATGTTTCATTATGACATTTTATGATTACCTTTGAAAACTTGTAGATGTCTTCTTGACAACATTTGTAACTGCTGTTTGCCGATGTTTTGGTTCTGATGCAATATTTATATCTGAAATGTATAAAAACAAATGTGCCTTACTTCAAGGGAATGGAATCCGACACTATAATACAGCTATGATCAAATAAATACTGGATACCTATGTTACAACAGTGTTAGCCTCTAGGCACGATTAAGAACATCACACCTTGATAATCAATTGCACATGGTGCTTTATATATTCAACACCTGAAAACTGATGTTCCTTACGATGAACCTAAAAGGCCAACTTTACCCTAAGCATAAAACTTGACTTTATTTTATATATTAATATTTCAAATGCATGGTAATAATTTGGAGTTTTTTTAAGTACTTGTACTAACCAGGTTTTTGATACATCTTACCAGAATCCGAAAACTTTAGTGCTTTATCATGATTTCCAACATTCTTACCTGGTAGTTACTCAAAATAGTCTCATTAAATGTAAAGTTAATGTTTCAGAATTTACCTAAAGTTTGGTTGGCATACATTTTCCCATCTTCATTAATACATGCCCTCCTAGCATCAGCCTGTCTGGCATACTGTATGAAAGCATAACCCTTGTGCATAGACAGTCCTGTCACTGCCCCATAACGTTTGAAGATTGCCTCCACTTCTTCCTTGGACAGCGCTATCGTGTTGAGATTCCCTACAAACACTCTAGCCCCAGCTGTAGATGGGTCATTGGTGACACTGCCTACACTAGCCTGAGGGGGTGCCATAGACTGGCGTGGGGGTCCAGCCATGTGTCCAGGTGGTCCTGGTCGGCCATGTGGAGGGATGTGAGGAGCACGGTGGGGCATGGGGGGACCATGAGGACCACCTGGATGACCTCCAGGACCGTGGGGTCCAGGTCCCATGGGATGTGGTGCTCTCATCGGCATTCGCATTCTGGGCATCATGTTGAATTAACTTTGAAAAGGTAAAATCTATCAAACTGCAAAGTAAATGACAAAGTAGATCAACAGTAGTGATGGTGAATTAGTTTAAAATCATAATCAATAATTGGTTGGTAATTCGAAGTAGTAAACTGATCATCAATTGTATTTTCATTAGAAAACATTGTTCGCTATACATTAGTTTCCTTCTTTTTACAACCGAATATTACACAGTTCAAAGCTTTTCCCCAAATTTTTTCAGAATAACAAGGCATGTCAGACGATATGAATACCCTCACATCTCAAAGTCATAAGAAATGTGAGGTTTTTGACCACAGAACTTAAGGTTGAAAGGCAAACTTGTAAAAGAGGTGATGTTTTGGAATAAGTGTATGAATTTGTAAATAGGGAATCTTTCACAAATAAAGGACAATCACTCATATAAATTGATACACGTATCCCAAACTGGTTCAAATTTGTTTTTCTTGATTTGAGCGAAGTGTTGGAGCTCAGGTGCATCCTCAGGTCCAGAACACTCGGCCGATTGAGCTACATTGCAGTAAATACTTATATCAACTAATATATAGCTATATTGACCTATATTTTCTAATATTTATGTTTTAATTCCTCAAGCAAAGATGCTTTAAACTATGGGTAATTAGGTATTAAGATATAATGACTAAAAAAAGCGTGCAGTTTTAGGGATGTATAAAATTTTCATAAATGTCAAAAATGTGATTAAATCTTCACCGATATGCAACTCATGTATTGTTTCCTTTTAGAATGAAAACTAAAACTATGTAAAAATAACCCAAACGACCTTTTTCAGATTGGTTGGATACAGCTATATATGTCAGTCGGACCGTGTAATCAATCGACAGTGTACAGTCCGTTCGTTACTCAAAAGACCAAGTCATGAGGATACTCCCAAACTCATAAATAGATTCCTGGCTTTAAAACATTGCTATCCTTCTGAGGATACTCCCAAACTCATAAATAGATTCCTGGCTTTAAAACATTGCTTTCCTTGACAATGATTTGGGCATACATGCTTGTTAGCTTCAATGTAATCCCGGGTCGACAGTCATATTATAATCAGCTGCCTTCATTTTCATATATTAGCTATCCATCAATATACTGCATGATAATAGTGTAGTAGGCAGTGCAGTAAAGCGTGGCAAGTTATTTAGTGCATCATAAAGGATCGATGTTTTATTAAGAAACAAAAACAACAAAGAGACAATCGAATGCCAAAATCAGAGTATATATGTTACCGAAATTTCAAAGTAAAAGAGTCGAGATACAACACTCTTAACCCAGATAACAGAGATTGCTGATCAAAGAAAGAGTTGCAACGAAACCGAAAATATTCCATTGACACACACGCATTCAATCCTAAATCAGGTTAAAATATCTTACCAAAATATTTTTAACTTGTAAATCGATGGTCTTCACTTAATTGATTACTTGTGCGCCTTTTTGTTCACTTTAAATATAAGCACATGTTGGCTTTTGATAGCATTCGCGGCAAAGATGGCGCTACACTCAAATCTTTGCTCGATCCCTATCTATTTGAATATGCATGCAAGGAAGCAAAAGGCCTGGGAGCGATTAAACACTTCCGGTTGAGTAATTTATATATATAGTTAGGAATGTAAAGTGCAATGATACGAAACGATTAACACATTATTGATAATTCTCTTAATTTATACGCTTGTCGTCCGACATGAAAAACTATGCATAGTGAAGCAAAGTATTAGGCACAGGTTTTATAACAGCCTTGATAACTGATGGGGAGAATAAATATTTTCAAAAATCTTCAAATCTGATTAAAATCATATCCTACATTCTCTACGTATCACCTAACGAGCATCAATAATGTAAATATAGATAAATAAACAAAGGCATGGGTTTCTTAACATTGATCACAATTATAATTTCAAAGATTCTAAAACGGTAAAAATTCCAACTCAATGATGCTCGTATACATGTATATCATCATTTCGGTGACATTTTTAACGAAAGTTGATATAACCCCCAAAACGTGTACAATTACCCTGGACACCTTCCTTAGTTTTGGTCCTAATATAGCTGTTATAATTCGCAGGTCCCTGTGGTCGAGCGGGGAATGATCATTCCATAGGACTTGGCATTCGACAGTGGGTACAATTTCTATATCCCACACATCTACGCATGGCTTTACTCCTTTTCTCCCAACTCTTAACCCACATTTTGGTAAAACACGGCATATGTTAGACAAAACAAACGCAACGGGACACTTCTGAACGCTCGTTGATGAATGATTCGGTATTTATTTAATTATATCATAGGTTTCGCTTATTTCTACAAAATGTGAAAAACTCTTGGCCAAAATCCTTAAACACAGCAAAAAGATATATATACATAACGTATACACAAACTAACGCAATACTTGAAAAGAGTGTTAGTGTAGAAAAAGTAAGGTGAATCCCAAACTGAAAATCCTTAAAGACCTTCTAGGCACGTTTGTGAAATTAGTCTTATGTTCCTAGGTGTTTCACTGACTTGCCGACGACAAAATTGTCGTGCAGTCATTCAAACGACGTTTTGGCGGGCTTTCGATTGTGACGTCATAATAGATTACCGTCACCTGATTTGTCGTCGTTATAGTCAATCATGTTAATAGGACGTAAACTTTTGAACACAAAACAAACCAAACCAAATATAATCAATCAATTAAAAGTGTATTTCAATGTCACGCATCATCAATATAATAACGATAATGACATTTATATTAGAACTTACGTTAAAATGTGATGTTCAGCCGAACTCGGCTTATGAGAAACTATCAGAATATACTGTTACGTTATGTACATCATACATCAACATTCCATAAATAAGACGATTATACTTCACAATAAACCAAATGAGATACATTTCGATAACTCCTAATAATTCATAATACTCTTTATGGTACATTTAGGATATACACAATTTTATTTTCTACATTAATTATCTAGAGCGTTCGATTCAATATCTCGAGCGCTCGAGAAGTTTTGTCGACATGATAAGTCGAATGCTCGAGATAATTAATGAAGAAAATAATATTGTGCATATCTTAAATGTACTTAGTGTGCACCCATATACAATAATGGGTGTTCCGTAAGGGACGGGGCACGTGTATCTTACCGATACGGTAGAGGTAGGAGAATTATCTGTATTCGGGGGCGATATTTAGGTCAAGGTGAACTTGATATATATATATGTATTCGGGGTAACATATACATGTATTCTAGTGCGATATTTAATTAGGTCGTGGTGTACTTGATGTCATTATCTGTTAAGTTGGGGGGGGGGGGGGGGGGGGGTCAAATAGAAGTGAAGAAAAAGATAAGACTTTTGGCATGTCACTTTAATATATCTATTAATTCAAACATTCATTATGATATACAATTTATGAGTAATACATGATTTCCTCTAAAAGGCGTATGTCGACAGGTTTTATTGGACCAGGCTGTGCGTGTACTCCTTACCTCTCCAGTCTACGGAACGCAAAATTATCATATTTCAATTAATTGTATGCATATCTTCAAATAATTGAACATAGGTACAATTATTTAAAGATAGTACAATTATCATACCTATATCCAATTGAATTGTACTTATCTTCAATTGAATTATACTTATCTTCAAGGTGCAATTATTTGAATATATGTTAATTTGGCGTACCATTATGGCATACCAATCGGTCGTCTCCTGTATCATACTTGTCAGCACTTTAATCACACTGACATAGTTGTCATCATTATCTAGGATAATATAGGACATGCCCTTAATATAGATGCTTTATCAAATTATAGAATAAACAATGTGACGGTGATCGAGTCTCTTGTGTGACACATGCAGGATATGTATGTCACAGGACATTGGCTTTAGTAGAATTATAGTTAGTACTTTATTATGCCATGACCATAATCCATATGCAAATAAATAAATTAGCGAGTCGAACACATCTTCTTAGATGACCAAATTAGATAAATCATTAATTGAAATCAGCATTAGATAAATAGATGTATACAATAAAATAAACCACAAGTAATTGTGGCCGTTATTTATTTTATTTTTTTGTTTTTGTTTTTAATAATGATTCAAGATCCATGGACAAAAGCAATCTGTTAACATATTAACAGTGTTTTGTTTAATTAAGTTGTCGTGTTATTAAAGCTTTCCAACCAACCTTATAGGTAGTTTCGTTTCGTAAGATTATTGTTTGTAATTTGGTTTAACCATGCATGCACAGGCCCTGTTGACCAAATGACCCACAGGACTTACGAAACCGGTGTGGAAGTCCTAGATGAGCTTCCAAGAGAAGATTGTGTCTAATATTAAACAGTAAAATCGTGATGCCACTGCGATCTGATATCGTGAGTATTAAACAATTTTCCCACTTTTGCTATTCATGATTTACACGCACGACCCGAGTTATTATTTTTAACTGAATTCGTACTTCTACTTTTGTTGTTGACATTACCCGTAGCCAGGTTCTGAAGGGGTACTACTGTACAATGTACACTGTCAGTGACTTCTATTTATCAACCAGTACAAGACCCAGTGGTTGAAGGGTCAAACTTTGTGTCATTGGGATAATACAGCCGTTAGGAGTTTTTTTTGATAAACAACTTTTTAAAACTCCTAAAAGTATAAATTATATTTGAATTCTACAAGTGAATTATATAATGCTGTATTTGTTATTGTATTGAGTGAACATATTATTTAACATCTTTAAATCTTGGAAAAGTAATTGAAAATGAAAAATCTCTACTTATGAGGGGTGAAAATGATCAATTATAATAATACTATTGTCTAGGGTTGGATGTAAAAAAATAATTTTTTTTAGAACTTTTACATTCTCCTCAATCTATTTTGTTTTCAATAGATGTCCTGATGCATGCCTGACACAACATGCTAAGCTTAAGATGGCTGAAGAAATTATCACAGCCTGTCCAGCAGGCTATTACAAAAAGTGGGAAAGTGATATTTGGCAAAAAGTGTTTGCTTGTGACTAATGTCACTATTACTGTGGGAATGTCATGCACCGGAGACTTCCTGCAGCAGCGGTACCAGATAAAGACAAAAGAAACAAACGCCATGAATTTGACTCGAAGCAGACATGTGGCAGCATCAGGACTAGTGATAGGTCCGTTCTGCCATTACTGGTATCTCTTTTTGGACAAATGGCTTCCTGGCAAGACTTTAAAAATTGTTCTCAAAAAAGTTATGGTTGACCAGGTGATTTGCTCACCAATCTACATTTCCTTGTTCCTAGTAACAACGTGCATGCTGGAGAAAAAGTCTTGGAACGAAATCAAAGAGGAGACCACTAGTAAAGGTGCTACCTTATACATGGCGGAATGGATTGTGTGGCCACCTGCTCAGCTTTTCAATTTCTTGATTTTGCCGACACGATTCAGGGTCTTATATGACAATACAATATCTCTTGGATTTGATTGTTATTTCTCACGTGTAAAATATGGATGTGAAAAAAATGAAGATCCAAAATGAAAAAGTATTTGATGCCAAAAAAAGTCACTTGCTGCCTTGCCAGAACAAAAAAAAATGACATTCACCCCTAAACCGACGTTCACCCATAAACTGACATTCACCCACCCATAGACCAACATTCACCCACCTGTAGACCGACATTAACCCAAAGGCTGACATTCACCCATAGACCGACATTCACCAATAAACCGACATTCACCCATAGACCGACATTCACCAATAAACCGACATTCACCCATAGACCGACATTCACCTATAAACCGACATTCACCCATAGACCGACATTCACCAATAAACCGACATTCACCCATAGACCGACATTCACCAATAAACCGACATTCACCCATAGTCCGACATTCACACAGAGACCAACATTCACCCACCCATAGACCAACATTCACCCATAGACCAACATTCACCCACCCATAGACCAACATTCACCCACCCATAAACCGACATCCTCCCATAGACCGACATTCACCCATAAACCAACATTCACCCATAGACCGACATTCACCCACCCATAGACTGACATTCACTCATAGACCAACATTCACTCATTCACCCATAGACCAACATTCACCCACCCATAGACTGACATTCACTCATAGACCAACGATCACTCATAGACCAACATTCACTCATTCACCCATAGACTGACATTCACTCACCCATAGACTGACATTCACTCATAGACCAACGATCACTCATAGACCAACATTCACTCATTCACCCATAGACCAACATTCACCCTCCCATAGACAGACATTCACCCAGAAACCGACATTCACCCATAGACTGACATTCACCAAGAAACCGACATTCAACCAGAAACCACATTGTCTATCTTCAGTCTCCAGAGAGTACTATCCAACATTAAATGTAATAATATATCTTTAAATAAATGACATTGAAAATAGACTTGTAACAGAAACAGGAAGCTACAAAAGCATACCTTTATAAAATACAGGTGACACAATAAGATACATTATCACCTGTAAATGTATATTCCAGTGTTAACAAACATCAATATGTCATAAAGTTTCACCAATGAGTGGGGGTTGGATGATAATGGCTGTCATTATCTAGCTTGAGTAAACCTTGTTTATACAATAGGGAAATAGCTAACTCTAGTTAGATAAACATGATAACCTTTCACCATGTGTTGGAGAATCTGCTTCTACTTAGAACCTTCATATTATGTCAGGAAAGCAAATTTTTAAGAATGATTCTATTTCCATTCCCTATGGGCCATCATCTGAATTTATCATGCATCAATTTTTTAAACTCCATGAGGTACTTGCCAGGTGTCCCTAATATGGAGGGAGATTGATTTGTCATCCTCGCTTTTAACTTGTCCAGTCGATATGTTGTCTTGTCTTGCTTTTTGTCCATATTCAATGAATACATGTACAAACAAAAGATGTCAGTTTATTTGATCAAATAGAAGTCTGTATATGTACTTTTATACAAGCTGAGATGTTGCCACACAGTGTTATATATTAAAGAATTTTAAAGGTTGATGAATAGGTAACCATGTCATTGCATGCTCCCAATAACCTTCAATCATTTAGAACAAAGAATTAACAATGTTCTTGTTGTATGTAATATTTACATGTCACTGTGTCAATCTAATGTCATTCTAGATAATATGACTCTGCAATAAGTGTTTCATGTATAGCAAGGGTAAGTACATGTATTACCCAAAAAGGAATATGTAAAGTTATTTTTAATTCCTATGATTTTAGTGTGGGTGTTTGATATTTGATTGAAGATGGCATCAACATGTTCACTGATGTGGAAATATATATGTATATCATGACCAAAATACATTTGTTGTTTGGCAATTTATTGAAACAATAATTATGTATGTTTTAACTTACTGAAGTTTTAATACCATTGCTTATTGAATATTTTTTAAAGTGCGTGAATTTTGCTATGACAACAAAATTAAAGCAAGCCATCGAATGATTGACACTACAACAGTGAGACCAAACCGATTCCATAGCACTAAGTCTTTCTATGCCTAAGTTTTGTTTGATTTTGGTATCCATTATTACATGGCAAGTGTCCATGAACAATAAGCTCAATAAGGTTGTGGTGAACTTAATTTCAGTGGTTTCCCTTTAAAAACTGCAGGAATCATAGCTCACAGGTCTGATCACTATTTTTTATATATTGGTTTTTTTTGTTTTTTTTTGATGGGGCCTAATTTGAGCCATAGTTCATGCACAGCAGCAATCCTGAATTAAATTTTGCGATGTTTTGAGGAGTGAAAACTATACCACATATGAAAATATAAGAAATATCTCACATATTCAAGTGGTAACTGCACTACCTGGTAATTTTTTAATGATTCAACAGGAAACCAGGAAAGTTTCTATATTCATTACATGTGTAACCAATTCTGTTGGTTATCTCTATGTTAACCATCCATAATAATTTGTGAACCGCTTTGAGACGACCTACGAACTAGGTTGTGATAAAGCGGTATATCTTGAATTATTATTATTAATTTATTATTATCATCAAGCGTTGACATGCTATTCTAGTTGTAATGCATTAACAGCAGTATATACATACAGCATTTTGATATTTCCCTGTTTTTTTTTATATGTGGCATATACTAGTAAATATAGAATGATTCCACTTTCGATTCCAAGGCTTCTTGGGTTCAACCTTGTCTTAAAGTGTACAATTACTATATACATCCACAAACATACATTTTCCCCATTTCGTTAATTGAATGAAGAGCATAAAAACATGTAAAGTGATTAGGACAGTCTATATAGAGCTACATGTAACAGACCCAAACTGAGTCTGATTTTCCTACGGGGTCAAAACACTTTAAGGGACACATTCTGGTATGGTCAGCGTCTGTCCATAGTTTGGTTTCCGCAAGATAACTTACCTAAATATCGTTTGATTTTGATAAACTTACAGTTCATGGTGATCCACTTTGAAGTATATCAGAACACCATTTATTCATAGGTATCATAATTTAGTCAGTTGTAATGCATACCATTGAAGATACTGAAAATAAAGAGGAATACTTCCTTAGTCGTGTTACAGTGTCATTGGTTAGTGAGGTGTGATCTGTTAAGGTTTTTGAGGGGTTGAAAGATGTTATATTTGTTGTGAAAAAGAATAATGAGCTCAAAATAAAACTATTTTGAATGTATTCTGGCTAGCTAGTATTTGTTCTTTGCGGCGTATATTTTTATTTCAATTATCGTACAGTCATATATGTATAACTATATAGTTAATTTTAACATATAGCTAAGCCTTCACATCCGTTACAGCGACAGCTAGATTGACCTGGGCATTGTCAGGACGTTCATATTGTGGTGTACATTGCAACTGCATTAATCCAAAAGAGATTTCTACATATGACCAGACCTATTATGATATGACAAAATCTGGAAATAGTGGTGAACATCCCAGATTACTTAAAGACACCATTCCTTCCCAATGTACACAAGCATAGAACGTTTGGTGATTGTAGGTGAAATGATATGGAGATTATTCTCTGGACAATCCATGGTCTCGAAAATTAACAAAGATTATAAGGTTTTTTTCGTTGTGCAGAAGTCCTGATTCACTACGCGAATCAAATTTGTCCAAGAAACGTATATAATGAATTAACGTTTCCACAGCGTTGCCGTATTTCTGACCGCAATGTTTTGGAAAGCTCCATGGGAGAAATAGGAAACATAATGGGTTACATAAATTGGAAGATAAAAAGCTGACAACCAGATCACAATGAAGTGGGTTCCCTCAAATAAGATGGCAAACTTTCTACCAATCCTGTGGTTAAAGCAAACACCTAAACAGGCAATTTCAATCGGTATTTTCTATTTCTAATTTCCAAATAACAGCTAAGGGCATTGAAAAGCTACTCCTCAATCTAGACACCAAAAAGCCTCCATCTTCTGCCGCAGCTTCCAACGATCTCTTGTTACCGGTCACTTTCCATCTGACTGGAGGACGGCAGATATTGCTCCTGTATATAAGAAAGACCCAAAATACAACCAAGATAATCACCGTCCAATATCCCTCGCATGTATCTGTTGCAAACTATTAGAGCTCATCATTGTCAGTAACAGCGTGGCTTAAGACCATCCAGATCACGCGAGAGTCATGATCAGTTAATTGAGTAAATTGATGACATCACGAGTAACTCTGAACATGGACTTCAGTAAGGCATTTGATAAGGTGAGCCACCCGCTTTTAATTCCGAACTTAGGAGCTAAGGTAAAGGGGGCAAAGCTGGATCAATCAGTAATAGCTGAAGGGGGAAATCTAACACTGACCCAGTAAGATCAGGGGTCCCCAAGGTTGGGTCCTCGGGCCGAGCCTTTATCTTTATTACATTACGACATTACTGAGGACATTTAATCGTCCATTAGGCTCTTTGCAGATGAAACCATTATGTATATCGCAGTAACATCATAGAGAGAGAGATACACAATCCCTGCAAAGAGACCTTGACATTCTCAGTCATGGGGAGAGAAAGCGGAAGATGAAGTTCCACCTGGACAAATGTGAGGTCCTTTCGATCACTAGAACTAGAAACCCCATTGTCCACCCGTATACACTTCATGGACACGAACTCCAACAAGTGTCAGAAGCCAAACACCTGGGTGTCACCATCAGATCAGACATGAAGTGGGTATCCCATCACTAGAAAAGACAATACTAACATGAGCTTCCTCGGGCGAAATCTAATGATGTCATCTTATGTACGATACAAAAATATATATAAGAAAATGCGTATACATCCTTAGTTGACCCTCAGCTGGAATACGCTAGTCCAGTTTGAGACTGATGTCTGAAAAAAGACACTGACAAGATAGAGATGGTTCAGCGAAGGACTGTCCGTTGTGTTATCAATCGACATCGTAACACCGCAACCGTTGTAACATGTTAGATCACCATAAATGGTGCAGTCTTGCTGGTTGTAGAAAAGATGCACGGCTGACCATGCTCTTTCAAAATATGCCATAGCAAAGCTGCCATCAACCCAGCTGGTTCCCACTACAAGACAATCAAGGCTCGGTCATTAAAATTAATTCTGCACTATCTCTTGTAGAACGTCCGTGAAGAAAGGACCCCTCTTTCCCCGAACAATCAATGACAGGAACACACTTCCACCTGGAATTTCATCAACGGACACCCTATCCTCCTTCAAATCAGCAATCTCCTCCTTCAAGTATTAATTCTGTTCCTTTTCTTTTCATGCCACAACCATATATGACAAAATCTTCACTGAACCAGTTGAAGTAGGTCATTATCTGGTAGAAGTAGAAGAAATGCTTAGTTCGCCTATTATTGAACAATGGACAGTATCGATTACAATATAAATGATACGGAGTAACGTTAACATTAATTTATTGACATATTTTTTGGAGAGATCTCAATAGAATTGGTTACATGGCTTAACTCGATTTGCTTCCCTTCTGTCCTGTAATTAACTTTATTCTGAACGCAGGCACATATCTGCCTCTATATTCAGATCATAGTCCGTATTTATTAAATCATAATATGAAAAAGGCACTGCCTATTATGGTGACAAAACGAACAGAATCCCTCCTTAGGACAAGGGCGCGTCGAATATTTTGACATGAAAAAGAAATAAATGGTGGTAATAAAAAATAGTATCTTAATTAAGAAAACCTGCCAGATATTTCATGTAGGCCTTTTTGTTGTTAATAGTTTACTATTATTTCAACACCTTTGTCAATATATTGCCTGATCCCTTTTAGCATCAAAATTTCTCAAGACAAAATGACAGAAATAGGATCTACTGTGCAAAGAAAATATTTGTTAAAAAGGCAAAGTATTGCAATGCAATCCATAGTCCCTCACCGGTAAGAATTGCTATATTTAACAAACAGTACACTTATGTCAGGAAGCATAGGTCACAGTGAGGTTATAGTGATCTACTTCACTCCGCCGTCCCAAGATGTCCTTGTACACCAAATCTAGTTACTCCAGGTAAAACAAAAAGTATATAGGATATGCCCCGTACAAACATTTTCAAAAGTAAAGGTCAAAGGTCAAGTCATACGTCACAGTAACCTAAACATTGCACATCAAATCTGGTTACTGCATGTGAAATAGTTAGAAGATATGCCCCAGGACAAACATTTTCAAATGTGAGGGTCAAAGGTCAAAGCATAGGTCACAGTGAGGACATGCAACTGTAGTGACCTTCTTCTTGCACTCTGCACGCCGCCATCCAAAGCTGTTGTTGTGCACCAAATCTGGTTACTTCAGGGGAAATAGTATATAGAACATAATTATGTCCCTGACAAACTTTTCTGATGGACGGACAGACGGGGTGCAAACCTATGATGATGTTACAGCATTCCTCATTTATTTACAAGCTTTACCTGGTCTGTAGGTGACACACAAAGGCAATAAAATTAGCTCAAAGATGATTCTCAAACAGTATTAAGTAATTATGGTACCCATTTTGTAACTCTAAACCAGCATTCAATTTCTCAATATTTCAATATGGGAGAAGCAATGGCTGCAATATCCATTCCTTTTGAATAACCAAATGATAAAACAATTTAACCATTTACATTTAAAACTAAGAAAGCATTATATCGTAAACATATTTTGAACCTAAAGCATAATACCACTGTACCAGTACCTTCAGAATCCAGAAGCTGCAATAGATATACACAGGACCATTGCAATTACAACACAGAAGTGATAAATATACAACGGTGATCTCACCATGTTATACAAGTGATACATGGACCTGAGTTGTAATGCAATTATGTTATTTGTTGTAGTGATATAAAAATCAAACAAAAACACACACAAAAAGTTGATATAATCCAAAAAAGGCTTTTTGAATTCCTTGTCAGGATTGACCGACATATATTGTTGATATATCATTAATGGTGGGTACAACATTGTCTGACATACGGTATGTATCGCTGACAATTTTCCGAAAAGGATATAGTGGAGGAATGAATGACACGGGGGTAATGAAATAAATTTGAAACAGGCCTACAAGACCTTTCCATCTATTTACTGTATTTGATTCTAGCATCTCTGTGCCTGAATAAGAAGACCGTTGAAAAATTAGTCAATTTTACCTCTTTTGGGCTCAAACCCCTTGCAGATTAGATCGACATGTAATTCATAAATTTGGCTTGCATTTGACCATGGAACTTTTCTTCAAACTAGAAGTTGACAAGTTGATTTTAATATCCATATTTTTTTCTGTGTGTTATTACATCTCCATAACATATTGAATGAAGTTGCGAAGTGTTTAAATTGAATGAGTTGATGATTTTCTATATATAGCAACAGTGACCTTGTCCTTGACCTTGGAATCCGGAAACACAACAATGCTCGAAGTGTTCTCATACTTGACCTTTGCATAAAGTTTGACAAAAAACCATGAATGAATGAAGTTGCTAAGTGTTTAAATTGAATCAGTTGATGATTTTCTATATATAGCAACAGTGATCTTGGCCTTGACCTTGGGACCCTGAAACACAAGGATGTCAAAGGTATACCCATATTTGACCTTTGTATAAAGTTTGACCAAAATCCGTGAAAGAATGAAGTTGCTAAGTGTTTACATGCATCGGAACGGGACGGGACGGGTGTTTACATTGAATCGGGACGGGACGGACATGGGCAACACTATACCCCCCCCCCCCCCCGCACACACACACACACACACACACACACACATTTTATGGCGGGGGCATACAAATAACTGAAGTGGTTACTATGACGTTCACAAGAGGCACTGCCTACTAAGATGTTCGAATGTCCTAATGTTGTATGCAGAGAACAATTTAACAAGTATATATATTCATATAAAATGTACGAAGTAAACGGAAATGAGTTGTACATAAATAGTTGTTT